TTTTTTTTTTTTTTTTTTTGGTCTTTTTGAGACAGGGTCTCCCTGTAGCCCCAAAGTAGCCTCAAACTCACAGGCCTCTGCCTCCTGAGCGCTGGGACTAAAGGCATGTGCCACCATGCCTGGCCTTTAAGTTTATTTTTTATTATTTTTATTTTATTTGTATGAGTATATACCTGCATGTATGTAAGTGCATGTGTGTCATGCAGTGCCCACGGAGTTCAGAAGATGGCTTCAGATCCCCTGGAACTGGACTTACAGACAATTGTTAGTCTCCATGTGGGAGCTGGGAACCAAACCTGGGTCCTCTTGCAGAGCAGCCAGTGCTCTTAACAGCTGAGCCATCTCTCCAGTCCTTCCCTCCCTCCCTCTGTCTGCCCCCCTCCTTTCTTTCTTTCCTTTTTGAATTTTGAAATTCAATTGACTATGTCTTAAATTTCCATTTAATATCAATACCCTTTTGATCTGAAAATCAACAGGAGTAGTTCTAAGGCAGAAATATTTATGCTAACAAGACCAGTTTTGACTTTGAATTTTATGCTGTAATCAAATTGTAGAGAATGAAGAGAAAAAAAATAGCTTTTTTTTTTCAGAAGATATCTACGTAAGTACTCAGGTACAGATTTGCTGACAGAAAAGACTTCAGAACATGGCTGACATCTGAAAGACTGAATTTTCTTAGATCTATAAAAACCCAAGATCCTTCTCCATCTTCGATCCTAGTAGCCAATTAGTATGTAAATGCCCCCTGTAAGCAATTTTATCATTACTGTTTTTCTTTTTCTCTTTTCTAAAACTGGATTTTTCAGAAAATTTTGTGTGGCAAGACAACTCAAATGCCTAAACCCAGCCTTTAAATTAGCTTTTCTGTTTACTTCATATTCTTTGGTATATATTTTAAAGTTAATATTTATCTTGGACCACATTAATCCTCCGAATCATGAAACCTTATGTATTCAGTTAGAATATAAATTTTTTCTTTTTTTATTGGTATTTTTGAGACAGCTCTCCCTATAACCCCATCTGGCCTGGAACTCACTTTGTAGACTAGACTGGCCTGGAATTCACTGAGATCCACCTGCCCCTCTCCCAAGTGTTGTGATTAAAGATGTGTGCCACCAAGCCCAGCAGAATATAAATTTTTTAAAGTACTTTTATTTGTAAATATTGTGTATTTGAGCCAGGCATGGTGGCCCACACCTTTAAGCCAGCAAGTAGATCGCTGAGATCAAGGCCAGCCTGGTCTATAACCAGCTGGTGCAATAGGGAGATCCTGTCTCAAAAGACCAAAAAAACAAAACAAAGAGACCCCCCCCCCCAAAAAAAAAAAAGAAAAAATGTGCATTGTTGTGTGAATGCACAGTTCCTGTGGAAATGTCAGAAGACATCTTGTGGGATTGGATTGTCTCCTTCCACCATGTGAATTCTGGGGATTGAACTTAGGTCATGAGCTTTGGTGGCAAATACCTTTACTTGCTGAGTTCATCTCACCAGCCCGTCAGAGTGGTGCCATACAAATCTGTTTCTTAGCTATATCTTTTTTAAAAATATATTTTATTATTTTTATCTTATGTGTATGAGTGTATTGCCTGCATGTATGTGAGTGAACCTGTGTCATGCAATGCCGCAGAGGTCAGAAGAGGGCTTTGGATTCCCCTGGAACTGGAGTTAAAGACAGCTTGTGGCCACCACATGGGTGCTGGGAATCGAACCTGGGTCCTCTACAAGAGCAGTCAGTGCTCTTAATCGCTGAGCCATCTCTCCAGCCCCCTTAGCTATATCTTATTATACATACATAATCTAATTCTGTTTCAAAGGTTCAAAGCCAAGCTTCAGGCACTGGAGAGATGGAGAGATGGCTTAAAGCACTTGCTGCTCTAGCAGAGGTATAAGAGGGAAGCTTTTCATTGGCACCCTTATTTTGTCTTGAAAAAATTGTGGATTTTCAAGATTACTTAGGATGCAGAAGACCATGTTGTGCAAAGATGAGGCCTTCATACAAGAGTATATGGGAGATCTGAAGCAGCCATTAGTGTTTTTTGGTTTTTTTTGTTTTTTTTTTTTTTAAGACAGGATCTCCCTGTAGCCCCAGCTGACCTGGAACTTTTAAGTAGACCAGGCTGGTGCAAAACTCACAGAGCTCTGCCTGTTTCTGCCTCCCAAGTGCTGGTTTTAAAGGCATGTGCCACCATGCCCGACAGCAGCCATTACTTTTTAGAAGCTATCCTACCTGGGCTGGAGATGTAGTTCAGTTGGTAGAGTGGTTGCCAAATACGTGAATCCCTGGGTTCAATCCCAAGTACCGCATAAAACTCAGAGTGGTGATGAAGGCCTTTAATACCTCCACAGGTAGATCTCTGTGAGTTCCAGGCCAGCCAGGGCTACATAGTGAGACCCTGTTTCAGAAAACCCAAAATAAACAAAAGATTAAAATGTCTTTATTATTTGGTTGACAAGATGTCTCAGTGGGTAAAATCTTGTTGCCAAGCCTGATGATCTGAGCTCTGTCCCTGGGATCCACATAGTGGAAGGAGAGAGCAAATTGTCCTCTGACCTCAACATATACTATAGCACACATGGGCCCACACACATAAGCAAACATGCTAAATTGAGGGGAGGGGGGAAATCTTCATTCTAATGCCTTTTATTTATTATTTTTATTTTATGTGTATGAGTGCATTGCCTGCATGTATATAAGTTTACCTATGTTGTGCAATGCCTGTGGAAGTCAGAAGAGAGTGGTCAGATTCCCCTGGAACTGGAGTTACAGACAGATTGTTAGCTGCCATATGTGGGTTTGGGAATCTAACCCAGGTCCTCTGCAAGAGTGGCCAGTGCTTTTAATGGCTGAGCCATCTCTCCAACTCCAACATCTTAATGTCTTGAAAAGACATCAAACATTAGAATGAGGAAGAAATTTTTTACAGCAGTTCTTTGAAGGGACTGGATTGACTTCATTTCGAAAATTTTATGCAGTTAGTTTTGTGATTGTGGTCCTTCCTTCATTTGCTTATTTTTTCTTTACTTCAAATCCCAGGACATTTAATCCTGCAGACTATTCAGAGTCTACATCTACAGATGGCTGTGGGACAAAGCTGGTAGTTTGGGAAGCTGCTCAAAATGGAACAGATGAAGGTCCTGGTAAGTATGAATTCTCTGGGGTGGTTTTTTTTTGGGGGGGGGGGTCTTTTTGAGACAGGGTCTCCCTGTATCCCCAGCTGTTTTGGAACTCAGAGATCCACCTGCCTCTGCCTCCCAAGTGTGCTGGTTTTAAAGGTGTGTGCCACCAAGCCCGGCTCAGAAGAGTTATATTCTTAAATGTCAGAGAATTTTGTTCTGTTCTGTTCTGTTCTGTTCTGTTTTTTGAGGAAGGATTTCACACCATAGCTCAAGTTGGCCTTGACCTTGCAGGAATCCTCCTGTTTCAGATTCCAGAGGGCTGGGATTTCAGGACCTAGTCATCACACCCATCTTCAGAGATGGTTTGTCCTATTTAGAATTTTCTGTTCTTTGCTGGGCGTGGTGGTTCAACAGATGATGTGAGCAGATGGAGAGTGCTCTGAGATTTCTTAGTTGGGCCTTACCTCCAAAGCCTCTCACTTGAAAATTCGTTGATAGCTAGGTGTAGTATCTAGAGGCTGTTATTCCCAACACCTGTGAGGCAGAATGTGTCAGATCCCTTGTAGCTGGAGTTACAGGCAGTTATGGGCCACTTGATGTGGGTGCTGGGAACCAAAGTTGGGTCCTCTGTAAGAGTAGTATGTGCTCTTAACCATAACATTGATCCAGACCCTGCCTTTAAAGAAATTTTTTAAAATTTGTTACTTTTATGTGTATAAATGCACCTGTGAATACAAAGCCCAAGAAGGTCAGAAGAGGTGATCAGATTCCCTGGGACTGGAGTGAGGGTGGTTGTTAGCTGCCATGTGGGTGCTGGGAAGAGCAGCACCTCCCCCTTTTTTAAAAACTTTTATTTTGTGGATGGGTAGGGATATGTATACAAATGCACTAATGCTTTGGAGGTCAGAGGACAACTTGCAGGAGTGTTTTCTCCACCATGTGTGTTCTGAGGATGGAACTCAAGTTTTAGGCTTATGCACAAGTGCTTTTATCCACTGACCAATCTCTCCACCCCCATCTTTTAAAAAATTTTAATAAGATTAAATTTATTTAATACCCTAGTAAAAATTTTGATTGTAAGTATCCAGCAGTATAAAAAGTACAAAGCAGATCTGTCTTGCTTGTTTGATTATGGGTTTTTTCTTCTTTTTGCCTGTGTGTGTGTATATGTGTGTGTGTGTGTGTGTGTGTGTGTGTGTGTGTTTATGGGTTTTGGGCACAGTATCTCCCTGTGGCCCTAAGTGACCAGGATCTTGTTATGAAGACTACATTGGCCTCAATCTCATAGAGATCTGCCTGCCTCTGCCTCCTGAATGCAGTGTTAGAGGTATGCACCTTCATACCTGACCCTAAAAATTAATTAAGTAAACTACAAAAATTATTAGAATATAGACTATAGAATGCTTATTTACAATTTGCTAAAAATATACCACTTTAAAAAAAATTGGAAAAAGATAGGCATAGACATGGGGAATGAAAACTGTGATAGAGCACTTGGGGCCTGGTGGCTTTTGTGTAATCCTAACATGGTAGGTTGATGCAGGAGAATTGCTGTGACTTTGAGGCCAGCCTAGCTGTAGATGATGATCTCAAAGACCCTCCCCATTCACCTCCATCAGTGATAATGAGTGTTGAATGTTCGCTCACCATCACGCATATGCTTCATAGCTTGAGTGTCAGTGTGCCATAGTATGTATTGCAATACGTTGTCCTATTTTTGGACGTACTGTCTGCACCCCTAGTGGGTGCATGAAACTACAGGTAGTTTCAAATCATATGTATGTGTGTATATGTATATCTGCCTACACATTCATAAACTCAACACTTCTTTTTTAACCAAATATACATGCCCATGATAAAGTCTATTTGTTTTTTCCTTAGGAAGCAACAAATTATTATTTGCCCCATTTTTCTCTGTTTCGACAGACATTCTGGCACTTTCTTTTCTTAAAGCAGCTATTCTAATCACCTGAGCAATATGAAGTAATTGTAATCACAGATGTCCTTGATTTTTCCTGCCATTCTTTCTTCTAAAAATAGAATACTTGTTTGGACTCCTCATGAAATAGTACAGTTAAGCCTTTGTGTTTTAAAAATCCTCATTATTTGAAAATAGCTTTATCCGCAACAGACTTCATGACTGTGGCTGGTCCAGAAGTTCTGTGCTAGGAGGCTGATTCCAGTAGGAAGTGATGAAGTTTATTTTTTACATTTATTTATTTTGTGTTTTCACTCATCACAGCAAGAATTTGGAGGTCAGAGGATGACTTAAGGAAGTCAGTTCTCTCCAGCATTTTGATTCCAGGGAAGGAACTTGGGCCGTTAGGCTTTGTTGCAACCACCTTTACCCATTGAGCCATCTTGTGGCCCCAGTAAAGTTTAATGTATAAATTAGGCACAGTAATAACATACAATTAAACAAAAACTGTATTGCAATAAAACTTGCACGAATATGGTTGATGTTTTTATCTCTAGAATTTTCTATTTAATATTTTGAACCTTTTTTCTATAGAAGTTGAAATTATCCATGGGTAGGGAGTGCTGTGATCTTTACCTCATGTGCTGCTCAATTTGTCTTATGTTTTGATATGCTAAAAGCTCTGCTTTTACATTGATCCACAGAATCGACAACAAGGAGTCACAATATATCTCAGGACCTGCTAAATAAAAACTCTTACGGGCTCAAAGGTATGATTGTTGTTTCAAAATTTTGCATAGTCAAGAAGCATACAGTGTTGAGTATGTAGTTCTGTGGTAGAGTGCTTGCTTAGCAAGCGCAAAGCCTTGGTTTCTAGTCCTAGTACTAAACCACAAAAATCTTAAAAAAATGCTTAACGTATTTCTCATTTTTTTAAATCAGTACTATAAATAAAAGAAGTAGGGCTGGGAAAACAGCTCAGTTGGTTCAGTACTTGCCTAGTGTGTATAAAGCCCTGGGTTCCGTCCCCAGTACTACACAAATCAGGCCTAGTGTATGCACCTGTAACTCTGGTACTTACAAGGCAGAGGCAGGAGGACAGGAGTTTCAGGATCATCTTTGGCTACATACTAAATTTGGAGGCCAGATTGGGATATGAGACCCTGTCTCAAAAAATAAAACCCAAAAAACAGATACAAATGATAGTTTTACAATAACCACATGCACCACACCCATGTTTGTGCCTCAGTAAGCAAGTGAAAGTCAAAGGATAATCTGTGGGAATCGGTTCTTTTTTTACAGTGTGTAGATCCAAGGAACCTAATTTAGGTCATCAAGCTTTGTGACAAGCCTTTCTCTGCTAAGCTATCTTGCCAACTTTTAATTATTTGAAGTGTTTTATGGATCATACCTTCTGTAGATTGAGTTCAGCATGCTAGTTTTCATTGATTTTTCCTAAGTGGCTTATATTGCAAAATCAGCATCAAATTGAGTTGAACACAATCAAACAATCTTGAAAAAAAAATTTTAAATGCTGGGGATGTAGCCCTGTGCTTGCGTATCATGTAGGAAATCCTGGGTTTGATCCCCAGTACTGCATAAATGGTTGTGGTACAGTGTGCAGGCTTATACAAAGTGAGTTTGAGGCCAGCCTAGGATGCATAAGGCCCTGTCTCAAAGAGAGAAGGAAAAAAACGAAATGTTTGAACCTGCAAGATTGCTCAGTGGGCAAAGTCACTCATCACCAGCCTTGATAACTGGAGTTTGATCCCTGGGGCCTATATGGTAGAAGGAGAGAACTTGAGTTGTACTTATACCTTTGCATGCATGTGCATGCCATGGCACACTAGCCCCCCATACATACAAAATAAATTAATAAAAGGGTTTACATTAAAAAAAATTTTTTTTAATTAGTATTTGGTTACTATTCAAAGAAATGTGTTTCATTGTGTCATTTTCTTTTATAAAAAAATATTTTGTCTCTGAGACAGGGTCTTTATTATTTCACGTTCGTGAATATTTTCTCTGCACATATGTGAGTCCACATGTGTCATACAGTGCCTTCAGGGGCCATAAGAGGATATTGAATTCCCTGGAACTGGAGTTATGGACAGTTGGGTCGTAGTGAGCCGCCACCATATGGGTGCTGGAAACTAAACCTGGGTTCTCTGCAAGAGGAGCCAATGCTCTTAGTTGCCGAGCCATCTCTCCAGCCCCCACTGGGTCTTTTTCATGCAGATATGTCTACGTTGTTGTTATTTGCCCTACATACTAGCCTCCCCTGTATCTCTTCCTCAAATTGTTAATTTATTTTTTGCAGTGCTTGGATTGAATCCAGAGCCTTGCCTCTGTTAAGCAAGCGCTTTACCAATGAGCTATATTTTCAGTCAGTATTTATCTCAATGAAACATATTATTAAACTGAAAATAATGTCATTAGAGTTATTCCATATGTTTTATAATATAGGTTCATAGATCTGAAATTTGATCATTTATATGAAATTCTTAGTTTTTTGTTTATTTTTTTGAGACAGGATCTCCCTGTAGCCACAACTAGCCTGGACCTTGGTATGTGGAGTAGACTGGCCTAGATTTCATGGAGATCCACCTGCCTTTGCCTTCCGAGCACTGAGACTAAAAGCCTGTGCTACCACTCCTGGCTGTAATTTTTTTGGTTGTTGTTTGGGCTTTTTAAAATTTTTTAAAATTTTAATTTTATGTGTATGAGTATTTTTCTTCTTGTATGTAAGTGCACTTGTGCGTGCAGGGCCCATGAAGGCCAGAAGAGGGCTTTAGATCCCCTGGAACTAGAGTTAATGGGTGGTTGTTAGCTGCCATGTGGGTGTTGGGATCTGAACCTGGGTCCTCTGTAAGAGCAGCCAGTACTCTTAATTGCTGACCCATCTCTCCAGTCCATTTGTTGTTCTTTTTTTTTTTTGAGACAGGGTCTCAGTACGTAATCCTGACTGGCCTTGAAGTCATAGAGATCTCCCTACCTCTGCCTTCCAAGTGCTGGGACTACCAACACACTTGGTCCCTTATTGTAAATCTTGAATTTTCTAGACTATGTTACAAATCTAAATTTATATCTTCCTTATGTCTATACTGTATGTGGCTATGCCATGTTACTGCAACACCAATTTATCATGTCACATTTCTTCTGCCTGTAGTAATCATTGTTGCCCTCTTTCATCCTGTAGGCTTTGCACTGTCTTCTTCCTGATCTTTTTAATTTTACATGTATATTTCTTTATTTCTATTTTATGTGTATGGGTGTATTGCCTGCATGTATATAAGTGCACCTGTGTTGTGCAATGCCTGTGGAGGTCAGAAGGGGATTTCCGATCTCCTGGAACTACAGTTACGGATGGTTGTTAGCTGCCATATGTGGATTCTGGGAATTAAATCCTGATCCTCTGCGAGAGCAGCTCTTAACCACTGAGACATCTCTCCAGCCTCCTCCTTTCTGATCTTAAATGTACTCAGTTTCTCACCTTATTTTGTACGTTCAAATTTGTGTTAAGTTCAAAATTATTTTCTTGCTTTCTGGACTTTCTGTAGGGTGATGTTTATAGTAATGTGGCATTGTATATGAGCAAGAGCAGTGTTAACTCTGCTGGGACCCCTTGAGGAAACCATGTGATAGCGCTAAGATTTTTTTAAGGGTTCTTCTCTAAATTTGATATTTCAGGAATCTGCCTTAAATAGTTCTTAGGGCAGATTTGCATTAAAATAGTGCTTTTTTTTTTTTCCGTCTTTTTGAGACAGGGTCTCCCTGTAGCCCCAGCTGTCCTGGAACTCACTATGTAGACCAGGCTGGCCTTGAATTCACAGAGATCCACCTGCCTCTGTCTCACGAGTGTGGGGATTAAAGGCATGTACCACCATGCCCAGCCAATAGTGCTCTTTTAAAGTTTTTATTTATCTCTATGTATATTCATGTGGATGCACCTATATCTGGGTATGCATATACCTGTGCATCCATGTTGGTACAGGGGTCAAATTTGGGTAATTCCTCAGGGACCATATGTTTATTTGTTTTGTTTTGTTTTGAGATAGGGTCTCGCTTGACTTGGAATTCATCAAGTAGACTAGGCTGGCTGACCAGTGAGTTGTCATTTCCCAGGGATTACAAGCATGTGCCACCATGACAGCTTACTTATTTATTTGTTTGTTCATTTATTTATTTTCTTATTCATTCGTTTATTTATTGTAAGGTTTGTGGGATCTGGTTTGTGGTGTGCATGTGTGTCGGGAATATATCTACAACGAAGTGTTCAGAGGCCAGAGGAACATATTGGGTCTCTTGCTCCATCATTCTCTGCTTTATTCCCTTGAGACTCACTGGTTCAGTTCGGCAGGGTAGCCAGTGAGCTTCTGGGATCTGGCCCCAATGCTGGGTTTATAGTATGCATCGGCATGTGCAGCGTGTTCTCTTCCCCACTGAACCATCTTGCCAGCTTTGCTTTTTTTTTTTTTCTTCGGTCATGAGTCCTGGGAATCGAGTTCATGTCCTCATGCTTTCAGAGGAAGAATTTTATTAAGTGAGCTGCCTCTCTAGCCTTTTTAAAGTTTTTCAGCATCAAGAATTGAACCCAGGTTCTTGTGCGTGCTAGGCAAGCACTCTACCACTAAGCTGTATCCTGCCCTAGTGTTAAATTTTGAATAATTTATAGCTTTTAAAAAATATTTTTTTATGTGTGTTTATTTTTATTTATGTCTGCATGTATGTAAGTGTATCCATGTTGTGCAATGCCCTTGAGACAGAAGAGTACCCTGGAACTAGATTTATGAACTGTTGTTAGCTGCCATTTGGGTGCTGGGAACTGAAGAACAGCCAGTCCTCTTAACCACTTAGCCATTTCTCTAGTCCCGTAATGTGTGTCTTAAGGAATAAACCCTCTGTTTTCAGTTTTGGCCTGTCTCTATTTTCTTACTCATAGCAGAATTCCTAGGGCATTTACCTCACTTTAGGTAAATCAATTTTAGGCATCAATTGGAATTTATGCATATAATTCTAGGTATGTTGCATTTAAAACATTTCTGGTTTTATGCAGGATAGATTAAGACCTTATATTTCTAGAATTATTAACTGAATTTCTAATGTTACAAATTGTTTTTATTGCTTAGTACACAAGAATCATTAGGAATTAGATTATATTTGAATTTGTGCTGTAACCTTTGTTGTTTCCTGGCAGGTGCCTGGAAGAATTCTGTGGAGGAGTGGACAACAGAAGACTGGACTGAAGATGTAAGTGTCATGTCAGATCAGATTCATCTTCCTTTTGGTGTATGGCAAGACAAATCTATTTAACATCTTACTTTAGAGAAAGCCTGATGCCTTTGATTTCATTTTAACCACTATACTTCTGTCTTCGCCATGTTCTTAGGGAGTTGGTTTTTTTATCATATGCTTCTCAGAAAGAAATTAGTATTTTCAGAGTTTAAAAAAAAAGCTTGTTTTTGAGCTGAGTGTGGTGGCGCACGCCTGTAGTCCCAGCACTTGGGAGGCAGAGGCAGGCGGATCTCTGAGTTCAAGGCCAGCCTGGTCTACTTAGTGAGTTCCAGAACAGCTGGGGCTACAGGAAGATCCTGCTTCAAAAAGACAAAACAACAACAGCAAAAACAAACAAACAAACAAACAAACTTGTTTTTTAAAATATCTCTAAAACATTTCTTTAAGCCAGGCGTGGTGGTGTATGCTTTTAATCGCTGGCCAGCCTGGTCTATATACTGCATTCCAGACTACAGGGAGACCCTGTCTTCAACCCCCCCCCCCCAAAAAAAAAAAATCTCTTTTAAAAAAAGTGAGCAGAGGTAGCCAGGGGTGGTGACACACACCATTAATCCCAGCAATCATTTAATCCCAGGGAGGTAGAGGTAGGTGGATCTCCCAAATAGGGAGTTCCAGGCCATCTGAAGCTTCTGGGGAGATCTGTCTCAACAACAGCAACACAAATAAAAAAGTCAGCAGATACAGGGAATGAAGAGATGGCTCGTTAGTAAAAGGCTTGCTGTATAAGCGTGACTTGAGTTTGACCTCTTGTACCCATGTTAAAGCCAAGCGTACCTGTATGCATTTGCAACTCCAGAATTGGGAGTTCAGAGATAGGAGGGCCACTGTAGCCTAATTGATGATCTTTAGGTTTGAGACAGTGAGGAACTGTCTCAAAAAATAAGGTGGAAAGCAATAGAAAGCACATAGTGTTGCACATACAAACACCACACATACCCACGTGAATACATATATACACACTATACTCACGTACACATACATACATACAAAAATGCACAGCTGTGGCTCAGTGTAGAGATCTTTACCAAGCATATGCAAGGCTCTGAGTTTTATTCCCAGCAGTGCAAAAAACAAAAAGCAGATGTCAAATAGATTTGAAATTATAACCAAGTATAATGGCTTATACCTGTAAACCCAGCCCTTGAGCAGTGGAAACAGGAAGGTTTCTGAGTATGCGTAAGCAAAAATAATTCAAATGAAATGCTACATGAATCTAAGGTGTTTCTGGCTGCACATGACCATGTTTTATTGTGGGACTACACTGCAGCCTTGGTTCTGAACATAAAGCTGAACTTATACCACACAGAATGCTAGCTCAGCTTAGACTGTGTGTGTGTGTGTGTGTGTGTGTGTGTGTGTGTGTGTGTGTGTGTGTGTATGTGAGAGAGAGAGAGAGAGCTGCGGTGTTTTCACTGTGTACAAAGTTCTTTGCTCTTTAGAAAAAATGGTTTAATTACTAAACACAGACTGTCATTCCTCATCATGTACGTATCAAATCAGTATTTTCTTCAGATAATATTGTTTCAGAGTGCTTTAAAAAATTTCTGTTTCTGTTGCTTACTTGAGCTTCATAATTATTGTTAATTTTGGGTTGGGGTTAGAACAGAATTTCCCACAGTTTCCTGAAATACCCCCAGACACCTGCCATTTTTGTACTATGTGTATTTACTTAAGACTTTTCCAGCATTGATGATTATATAATCAAAATATTGAACTCTGAAAAAATGTTGAATATATTCAACTTGAACCAAGGTTTAATTTTGTTGTTTTTCATTTTATTTTGGTGGAGCGGTATACATGTGATACAGCAGTCTGGTGGAAGTCAGAGGACAACTCCTGGGAGTTGGTTGTCACCTTTCACTATTTGGGTCCTAGGGATCAAACTAAGGTCATCAGGCTTGGTAGTAAGTGCTTTTACCCACAGATCCATCTAGCCGGCCCCAAGATTTAATTCTCCATGTAAAACTAAATAAACATTCTTACTTCCTCATTATACAAATTTTCCTTCATTTTTAATAAATAGTAAAATTATACATATATATGAAACAATTGTTTTTTGTTTTTTGTCTTTTTGAAACAGGGTTTCCCTGTAGCCCCAGCTGGCCTGGAACTCACTGTGTAGACCAGGCTGGCCTTGAACTCATAGAAATCTGCATGCCTCTGCCTCCCTAGTGCTGGTTCTAAAAGCATGCACCACCATACCAGTTTTAAAGAAAAGAAGCTCTTTCTGGCTGGAGAGATGGCTCAGCAGTTAAGAATACTGGCTGTTCTTGCAGAAGACCCAGATATGAATCCCAGCACCCACATGGCAGCTAAAAACTGTCTATAACTCCAGTTCCAGGGGATCTGACAGCCTCTTCTGTCCTCTGCAGGCATTTTACGACACAGGTGCACTTGCCTATGTGCAGGCAGTATCCACATACACATGAAATAAAAATAATAAATATTTATTTAAAAAAAGAAGCTCTGTTGGGCATGGTGGCGCAAGCCTGTAGTCCCAGCCCTTTGATTGGCAGAGCAAGCAGGCGGTCTCTGTGAGTTCAAGGCCAGCTGGGGCTACAGGGCCACCCTCTGTTTTAAAAAGACCAAAAAAAAAAGTAGCTCTTTCCTAATCTGAGCATGTCCGTGGTTTTTCCTTGGAGATGCAAACAAGTGGGGTAGTAATTTATGCAGGAACAAGAGGGAAACTGTGGAATTGCTTGGCATGTGTTCCCAGCTACTGAGGCAGCTAAATTTGATCATAGTTTTACTGGAATATATTTATGTCAAAATTAATTAAATTGGGCTGGAGAGGTGGCTCAGCTGTTAAGAGCACTGACTGCCCTTGCAAAGGACCTAGGTTCCACTCCCAGCACCCAGATGGCAGCTTGAATACTTGATATTTATTATATGTGCTTTAATTAAGAAGCTAAGTCCAGGGGCTGGAGAGATGGCTCAGAGGTTAAGAACACTGGCTATTCTTGCAGAAGACCTGGGTTCGAATCCCAGCACCCACATGGCAGCTAACAACTGTCTGTAACTCCAGTTCCAGGGGATCCGACAGCCTCTTCTGTCTTCCGTGGGCATTGCACGACATGGGTGCACTTACCTACATGCAGGCAATACACGCATATACATAAAATAAAAATAATAAAAAAATATTTAAAAAAAAAGAAGCTAAGTCCAGGGGCTGGAGAGATGGCTCAGGAGTTAAGATCACTGGCTATTCTTGCAGAAGACCCAGGTTCGAATCCCAGCACCCACATGGTAGCTAACAGTTGTCCATAACTCCAGTTCCAGGGGATCTGACATGCTCTTCTGTCCTCTGCAGGCATTGCACAGCACGGATGTACTTACATGCAGGCAATACACTCATACAGATAAAATTAAAAAATAATCAATAAAGCCAGGCGTGGTGGCACATGCCTTTAATCCCAGCACTTGGGAGGCAGAGGCAGTCAATCTCTGTGAGTTCAAGGCCAGCCTGGTCTACAAAGTGAGTTCCAGGCCAGCTGGGGTTACAGAGAGACCCTGTCTCAAAGAGACCCCCCAAAAAATAAATAAATAAAAATAAATAAATAAATAAAAGTATATATATATTTAAAAAAAAAGAAGAAGAAGAAGAAGAAGAGGCTAACTCCCCTGCCTGGAGAGATGGCTGTGCGTTTAAGAGTACTGGCTGATTTTACAGAAGACCCGGGTTTGTTTTCCAACACCCACATGAAGGTTAACATACAGAGGATCTGATGCCCTCTTCTAATCTTTTGGGCATTGCATGACAGGGTTGCATTTACATACAAGCAGCCAAAACACTTATAGAATAAAAATGAATAAAGAGAGCCATGCATGGTGGTGTAGGCCTTTAATCCCAGCACTGGGTAGGAAGAGGCAAGCTGAGTTCAAAGCCAGCCTGGTCTACATAGTGAGTTCCAGGCCAGCTGAGGCTATAGGGAGACCTTGTCTCAAAAAGCCCGAAAAAGAATGTTTTTAAAGAAAATAAACCCCCTGACCAGGCGTGGTAACATACGCCTTTAATCCCAGCATTCAGGAGGCAGAGGCAAGTGGATTTCTGTGAGTTCAAGGCCAGCTTGGTCTATATAAGAGTTTCAGGCCATCTGGGGCCACAGCAAGACCCTGTCTCAAAAAGACAAAAATAAGAAAAAGAAAAAAAGAAAATGAGCCCTTGACTTAAAATGAAACATAAATTACTAATCCAATAAATAGAAAAGCCATCTGTTTTGAGAGAAGGAAAACATTAAATGTCTAACCTTTTCAAAGTTCTGTACTTTTTGGATTTTTTTGTTACTCCTTTCTGTGTAATAACACATTAGAGTAGTGAGGCCAGGACTGGAGAGTAGTTGACATTCTTTAATCTCACAGTGCTACTTCCTGTTCTGTAGGCCTGTTCAACATTGGTTACAGCCAGCTGAAGAGGATTACTTAGTACTGTTTTTTTTTCCATTTGGTGACCCATATGAGCATACTGATGACAGAAAATTTCTGGAGTCAAATATATATTTTTGTTTTATATCTTAGAGAATCTGAATCTGACTAAAGTTTTTTCTTCTAAATTTTCTGTACAGCTATCTGAAACAAAAGTCTTCACTGCTTCATCTGCTCCGGCAGAGAATCATATCACCCCTGGGCAAAGGTATACGACTTGGGTTTTTTTGTTTGTTTGCAAATGTGTGTATATATGGGGGGTGGGCATTCAAACATAATTGAAACTTTTTTATTGTTGGACAAGTGTTTATAGTCTTTTTTTTTTAACCCCTCCCTGGAAAGCTAACACTTTGTAAACTTTTTTTGCCTCTGCCTTCTTTTTTTTTTTGGTTTTTTTCAGATAGGGGTTCCCTGTAGCCCCAGCAGTCCTAGAACTCACTATGTAGATCAGGCTAGCCTCACAGGGATCATTTTTTTTAAAGAATAGACTTAACTACTTTCCATTCTTTGGTTTCTTCAATTGGTAGCATTTGTTTAGATGGTCTCCAACCTAATACAAGCTATTCATTTTAAATGGGTTCTATTTATAATGTACTTTTACAGAAAAGATCTTTGGGATAATAACATTTTTGGGGGGTGTGTGCATGCATGTGTATGGGGGGATGTTCATGTGTGAAGGGTGAAAGTCATTCTTGAGTGTCATTCCTCAAGAGGGCTGTACAACCAACAAAGTTCTTTTAACATTTATTTGTGTGTGGTGGTGTGTTATGTGTGACTGTGCACATGTATATGCATAGTTATATATGTGCATGTGCTATTATGCTCTTGTGGAGGAAATCAGAGTACAATTTATGGCAGTTAGTTCTCTCCTTCCATCATGTGGATTCCAGAGATGTAACTAAGACTTGGCAGCAACCGCCCTTATTTGCTGAGCCATTTTGCCAGCCCTCTGTCCCCTTTTTTTGAAAGTTTTTCAGTGGCCTGCAACTCACTAAACAGGCTACACTAGCTAGCCAGCAAACCCTCTGGATCTACCTGACTTGGCCTCCCCATAGCTGAGATTACAAGTACAAGCATGCCACTGTACCCTGCATTTTTTTTTTTAACATGGGTTCTGGGGATTGCACTCAGATTCTTGTGCTTGCAAGATAAGCTTTTTACTGATTGAGCTGTTTTTCCAGCCCCTAAAATGATAGCATCCTTTTTTTCCTTCTTTTTTTTTTTTTTTTTTTTTTTTTTTTTTTTTTTTGAGACAGGGTCTCTCTGTAGCCCCACCCCGCCTGTCTCAGATAGATAGATAGATAGATAGATAGATAGATAGATAGATAGATAGATAGATAGATAGATAGATAGATGATAGATAGATAGATAGATAGATAGATAGACTGATTAGACAGACTAGACAGATTAGACAGATAGACAGATAGATAGATGAGAGAGAGAATGACCCTGTCTTAGATGTATGTATGCATGCATGCATATGAGATGATGCTTCTACCATGGCTGAGGTCTTCATACTTTAAGAATATTTAAAAATTTTCATGTTATGTATGTGGGTGTTTTACCTGCATATATGTGTTTGTAGCGCATACATGCAGTGCTCACAGAGGCCAGATGAGGGCATCACATTTCCTGGAATTGAAGTTACAGATATTTGTGAACTCCCTTGTTGGTTCTAGGAATTGAACTTGGGTCCTCTGTAAAATAATCTTGAGCCTTTAACTGTTGAGCCATCTCTCCAGCCCCTGCTTTAATAATACTGTTTCAAGCCGGGCGTGGTGGTGCACGCCTTTAGTCCCAGACCCAGGCAGATCTGTGTGAGTTCAAGGCCAGCCTGGTCTACATAGTGAGTTCCAGGACAGCTGGGGCTACAGGGAAACCCTGCCTCAAAAGACCAAAAAAACAAAAAACCCTTCCCATATTAAGTAAATGTAAACAGATTTTCTCTTTGACTTATTTTGTTTAGAATGCTTTGCAAACCCCTTAGTACTCACTCAGAGCTAGAATTTCTATATTTTCTTGAAACAGAATGAAGTAATCCCTCCGGAGTGCTGGGATTAAAGGCATGTGCCACCACGCCTGGTGGGAAGAGTTTTTTAAAAATATTATTTTTATTTTATGTGTATGTGTGTATTGCCTGCATGTGTGTAAGTGCACCCATGTTGTGCAATGCCTGCGGAGGACAGGAGAGGCTGTCAGATCCCCTGGAACTGGAGTTACGGACAGTTGATAGCTGCCATGTGGGTTCTGGGATTCAAACCCCAGTCATCTAAAATAACAGTGTTCTTTTTGTTTTTTTGTTTTTGTTTTTGGTCTTTTAGAGACAGGGTCTCTCTGTAGCCCCAGCTGTCCTGGAACTCACTGTGTAGACCAGGGTGGCCTCAATCTCACAGTGATCCACCTGCCTCTACCTCCCAAATGCTGGGATTAAATGCATGTGCCACCAAGTCAGGCAATATTTGTTATTTTTTATCTTATGTGTATGAGTGTATTGTCTGCATGTATGTAAGTGCACCTGTGTTGTGCAGTGTCCAAGCTGGTCAGAAAAAGCATTGACTTCCCCTGGAACTGGAGATCTGAACAGTTGTTAGCCACCTTGTGCATACTGGAAATTGAACCTGGGTCCTCTGTAAGAATTCAGTGCTCTTAACTCCTTCTAGCCCCATAAATACAGGAACGTTGTCATATTACTCATTATATAATTTTGGGAGAACTCAGTACTTTTTTCCTCTTCAAAAGCGCACTTCAGTCTCTGACTTTGTAACTTGTTTTTAGTGATTGCTGAGCTTTCTTATCTCCATCTTACAAAAGTTTTGCTTACTTAATCTCTAGTTTAAATTTATCAGCAAGATTTGCTTTGACAGCTGTTTCTCATTTGTTTTTTGTCTTAGCATTGATCTGGTGGCCTTGCTTCAGAAGCCTGTTCCTCCCAATCAAGCCTCAGAAATCAGGTCCTTTGAAACATCCCAGCAGCAGGGTTTTGGCCAAGCCCTTGTCTTCACAAATTCTCAACACAACAATCAAATAGTACCAGGGACTGGCAGCTCTACCTCTGCCAACTCCTATTCTCCTCAGAGTCTGGTAACTCACTTTTATTTTGGTTTGATGAGGTTTAAGGAATGTAACTATTAACACCAGTCATCTGAAGTATAGTTATTTTCTCATAAATAATAAAATTTTGGCAATACATCTCAGTCCAGAAAACAGTGATGTAATGATTTCCAAGCACATATCTGACAATTCCATGTGGAATTTAACTACTGAGTTTCCTGGACTAAAATAAAAAATAAAAACATACTCTTTATGAATTCTTTTCCATGAATGTGAACTTAGATCGAAGGCATCTCTCTCATTAACTTTTTTTCATATTTATCTATGTTTATGTACATTGGCATATGCCATGGCACAGGCATGAAGATCAGAGGACAACTTGTGGAAGTCATTTTTTCCACTGTGTGAATTCTGGGTTTTGAATTCTGGGTGTCAAATTCAGATCATCAGGCTTGGTGACAAGTATTTTTGTTTTCACGTTGACCTAAATGTAGAAGGCTTCCTGTACAGAATATGCAGTAACAGTGCTTTGTATGTCTGCCTAGGTTTTCTTGTTTTTGTAATTTCTGTTCCCTTCTTAAAACTTATTTATTTTATGTGTACGAGTGTTTTGTTTGCATATATATGTGTACCACACATTCCTGTTACTCTTGGGGGCAGAAGAAGGAGTTGGATTCTCTGAGAACTGTAGTTGGAAATGGATGGTTGTGAGCCAGTATGTGGGTGATGGGAACCTGACCTGTGCCCCCTCAAGCAGCGTGTCCTCTTAACCACTTAGCTGGCTCTTCAGCCCTGCTCCTTTTTCTTCAAATGCTAAATAATGTATTAGAAGCCTTATATTTAGGTGTGTTTTCCTTGAAACAGTGTCATCTAGTGTTCTATTTACAACTCTGACTTCTGATGTGAGTTAGATTGCCATCAGAATGAACTTTTGGAACTTTATAAAGAAAGACTCGATGGGCAGTTGGAGTATAGAGTATAGCTTGTGAAAGAACTTAGCCATACGAAGGAGGGGCTGGAAGTCCATACCCAACCCTAGAATATTCAAAGCTGAAAGTAAATACAGAAGAAAGCCCTTGTTTTGTTTTTTTTTTAATTGAATCAAGGTGACCTTCCCTCTGCCTTTCCATTTGCCACTGGTATTAGAGCTTGCTTTTTTACATTGAGCCTCAAGAATGTTGTTTTATGTCATAATCCGTATCTTGAGATGAGTAAGAATTGTTCAGCAATTAGATTAGAGCTACGACTCTAACCCTACTACTAGTTTTTATAACTACTGAGGAAATTAATAACAATTTAATGATGATGATAATGCCAGGATTTACAAATAATAATAGTAATAAAAATAGTGCCAAAATTTACACAAGTCAAAATGAGTCAGACTCTTATCACAGAGGGAAAAAATGTGACATTTGAGTGGCCCTGTTGAAGAAATGGGCTTGAGCAGTTGATTGCAGTCAAGAAGACACATGGTAGTCAAGAAGACACATGCATGAGTGACAAATGTGGAGCAGTGACAACTAACATTTGAACAGCTGGTCCGAGTGGATGAGGAGTTGTGATTGATGGGCCACAGCTGCCCACAACCTAATGTGTTTTGTTTGCTCACATGGAAAATTATGAATTTATTTATTTATTTATTTATTTAATTTATTTATTTATTTTTGGTCTTTTTGAGACCAGGTCTCCCTGTAGCCCCATAGCACTTTGTACTTGTAGAATACTGAGTTGACTGTGTTTTTGTTTTTGTTTTTGTTTATTTAATGAGTTATTTAATTTTATTTGTATAAGTATGTTTATTGGTACATATTCAGTGCCCACAAAGGTCAGAGGAGAGCCAGAGCCACCACCTGGGTGCTGGGAGTCGAACCAGGTCCTGTGGAAGAACAGGAAGTGTTCTTAAGCCCTGAGCCACCTTTCCAGCCCTTGTCTTGGGTTTTCTTTCTTTTCTTTTTTCTTTTTTTTCTTTTCTGTCCTTTTGATACAGGGTCTCCCTTTAGCCCCAACTGGCCTGAACCTGAAATGTAGGCCAAGTTGGCCTTGAACTCACAAAGATCCGCCTGACCCGAATAAAGTTTTGGTTTGTCTTTTTGAAGCAGGGTCTCCCTGTAGCCCCAGCTGTCTTGAAACTCACTGTGTACACCAGGCTTGTCTTGAACTCACAGAGATCCGCCTGCCTCTGCCTCCTGAGTGCTGGGAAAAGTTTGTTGTTTTTTTTTTTTAATTAAAAAAAATTTTTTTTTGGTTTAGGGCCAATGTTTTTAGGAAGACTTGTCGCTTTGTTTCACTTATTGTTAATTCAGAGTTATATTTTCATGCAGTATCTCCTGGAATTCAGATGTTCCAGGTTGTAGTTGTTTTAAGTACTTAGGATACTTGATGTGTTTGAAAGCCTGGAATAAAACCTCTGTATTGATAAGGATTTGTTCTTCTGTGTCTCTTCATAGTCATCTGTCCTTGGCTCAGGATTTGGAGAGCTTGCACCATCAAAAATGGTGAATATCAGCAGCTCCCAAATTTTGGAAAAGTTGAAAGCCCCAGGTTTGAGCCAGTTTACTACCACTTCAAGTTCCCAGCAGAACAGTACAAGTCCCCCAGCTACCACTGATTCTTGGGACCTCAAGCCCACAGCATCCCAGTCCTCAGTCCTCAATCATTTTGGTAAGTGTACTTTTCTGTGTTGCCTTACTTATATTAAATCATTAACAGTGTGTTTTCTTATGAGTAGTAGAGTGGACTTTGCCCAGAGTTTCTTTTAGAACACATGAAGTTTTGGAAAATAAAGTCAGTTATTTCTATGTTGTATAATACCTACATTTATTTAATGTTGTTATTGATGTTTTTAAGTTTTTATTTATTTTTACTTTATGTATATGAGTGTTGCCTGCATGTATGTAGTGCACCTGTGTCATGCAGTGCCTACAGAGGACAGAAAAGGGTGTCAGATCCCCTGGAGCTAGAATTAACAGATGGTTGTTAGCCACCATGTGGGTGCTGGGAATCGAACCTGAATCCTCTCCAAGAGCATCCAGTACTCTTAACCACTGGGTCATCTTAGCTAATTATACTTCAGAAAAAGGATGTGTACATCCATTATCACTTTGTTTTTCATATCTAGTGAGGAAAAGCTAATTCATTCATATAATACTGCTCATACATATACTGGATTGAATTCAATGTCATTAAAATGAGGGAAGTAATTCTTTACACATTAAAGTGGAGCAGTCTCTGAAAATTAAATGGCTTGTCCAAAATTAGGGTATAATAGATATTTTTGTCATATATTTTTATTTTTATATTTTGGATCTTTTTCAGACAGGGTCTACCTGTAGTCCTGGCTGACCTGGAACTTGCTATGTAGGCCAGGCTGGTCTTGAACTCACAGAGATTCACCTGGCTCTGCCTCCCAAGTTCTGGAATTAAAGGCATGCATCACCATGCCTGGCTTTTATATGTTCTATTTTTATTTATAGAAATATTTTGCTTACCTATGCATATACTGATATGTGCCCTCAATAGCTGGTAGAGGGGGTCAGAGCCACATTGTGGGTGCTGGGAATCAAACCCCAGTCCTTGAAGAGCAACAGGTGTTCTTCACACCTGACCGAGCTGCCTATCCAGCCCCTGAAATTATTATTGCTAATATTTTTTTTGTGTGTGGTCTTTTTGAGACAGGGTCTCCCTATAGCCCTACCTGTCCTGAACTCACTATGTAGATCAGGCTGGCTTTGAACTTAACAGAGATCTGCCTGCCTTTGCCTCTCAAGTGCTGGCATTAAAGGTGTGCCATGCCTGGTCCTGAAATATTTTTTAAAACGTTGTGTACCAGGGGCTGGAGAGATGGCTCAGTGGTTAAGAACACTTGTTGTTCTTGCAGAAAACCTGGGTTCCAATCCCAGCACCCACATGACAGCTAACAACTGTCGGTAACTCTAGTCCCACGGGATCCGACAGCCTCCTCTGACCTCCTTGGGCATTGCACAACACCGGTGCACTTACCTACAGGTCAGAAGAGGGCTTTGGATTCTCCTGGAACTGGAGTTAAGGATGGTTTGTAACCTCCATGTGGGTGCTGGAAATTGATCCCAGGTTCTCTGCAAGAGAAGTCAGTACTCTTAACTGCTGGGCTGGGGCTACAGGGAGACCCTGTCTCAAAAAGATAAAAAGAAAAAATTTATTTATTATTTTTATATGTATGAGTGTATTGCCTGCATATATGTAAGTACATTCATATTATGCAGTGCCTAAGGAGGTCAGAAGAGCATGTTGAATCCCCTGGAACTGGAGTTATGGAGGATTGTTAGCCACTATATGGGTGCTGGGTATTGAACCTGGGTCCTCTGCAGAAGCAGCCAGTGCTCTTAACTGCTGAGCCATCTCTCCAGCACCCTCCTTTTAAAAATACTTTATTTTTATATGTGTGAGTATATTGCCTGCATGTATATAATGCAGGCACCTGTGTTGTGCACTGCCTGGGGAGGTCAGAAGTGTGTGTGGATTTCCCTGGAATTGGAGTTATACACTATTGTTAGCTGCCATGTGGGTGCTGAGAATCAAACCCAGGTCGTCTGTAAGAGCAGTCAGTGCTCTTAATGGCTAAGCCATCTCTCCAGTCCCTTGTTTTGCTTATTGAGACAAGGTCTCTTTGTAGGCCCAGCTTGCCTAGAACTTACTATGTAGACTAGGCTGGCCTGGATCTCACAGAGATCTGCCTCTCCAGTGCTGGAACTAAAGGTATGTGCCACTATGTGCCAGTATGCTTGGCTCAAAAAGACCTGTGTTTGGATACTTGGCACCTACATAAAAACTGGGTCTTGTAGTACATACCTGCAGTTCCAGCACTGTGGAGGCAGAGACAGGTATATTCCCGGAGCTCATTAGGCTAGTTAACCTACCTGAATTGTGAATTCCAGATTCACTGAGTGACCTCGTCTCAAAAAAAAAAAAAAAATTTTGTGGAGAATGAGGACTTCTAGCATTGACCTCTGGCCTCTAAGCATATGTGCATACAGCATATACATTATGTACGAAATTTGTAAAACAATGAAAACATTCTCTGTTAAGTAATGGGCAGATGTGTATAGCATGTCCATAGAGGTCTTTAATTATATCCTGAATGTAAGCTATGTTATCTCTGAATGGGAAATAAGGAACTGTACATTTTATTCCCCCTCCCCGTCTGTTCTCTCCTCTTCTCCTCTCAAGTATATGATTCAGAGGAACTGGTGGAAATGATTTATTAACTGCTGCTTTTTTTTCCTTTACATATCTCATAGATTTCAAATCTCAGCCTGAGCCTTCTCCAGTTCTTAGCCAGTTGAGCCAGCGACAGCAGCACCAGACCCAGGCAGTCAGTGCTGCTCCTGGTTTGGAGCCCTTTCCTTCCCAGGCAAAACACCGAGAGTCAGCACCTGTAGATGGTCCCACTACTGTGAAGAAACTTCTGCAGCTTCCTAATATTGCTGTTGAAAATATTGTATCTGCTCACCAACCGCAGCCCAAACACATCAAACTCCCCAAGCGTCGGATACCTCAAGCCTCTAAGGTGGGTTTCCATTATGATGTCTCCATCCCAAAGGGCTTACTTAACATTTTGCTCAGGTACTGAAATACAAGGTATTAGGCATTGTGATGAGTGCTGTCAAATACTGCTTTATGAGCATTTAGCTGTATGTGTGACTGGGCTAATAGTACAGGGAATGAATTTGTGCTGAGAGCCAAAAACTCTTAGCTCAGTACAGGCTTAAGGATCTAGCTCAGAATGCTTTTGTTCTCGCTTAACTATATCTCATCTTTGGAAGTTGTGTGATTCCTGGACAGGTAATGTGGTTCATCACTGGTGTGTCTTTGAAAATAGCTGAAGGCTCACTTTGCCTCCCTCATTTACTCACTGCCCTGATACCCCCCCCCCTTGACTCTAAAGCTGCTGATGACATTAAATGGGCCATTAATTTGCCTTTCCTCAGCTTCCCTCACTGTTGAAAAGGTTCCATTCCACTAACTTCCCTTTGTGTTTCTCACTTGATTCTGCCTGTGTAGCCCAGGCAACCAGTTGCTTTTTGGGGATCTGTTGTAAACCTTTCAGCGATAGAGTACCTGACCTCTGTTCCTGACATGACAGCTTTGCTTTTCTAGATTCCTGCTTCGGCAGTGGAAATGCCTGGTTCAGCAGATGTCATAGGATTAAATGTTCAGTTTGGGGCTCTGGAATTTGGATCAGAACCATCTCTGTCTGAGTTTGGATCCACTTCAGCCAGTGAAAATAGTAACCAGATTCCTATCAGCTTGTATCCGAAGTCTTTAAGGTACAAAACTTCTTACCTCTATACTTTTGACTGAATTTGGTCTTGTCTTTGCAAAATGAAGCAGCTCCTAAAAAAAAAAAAAAATGGTAATGATTTTGTGCAGTTGCCAACAATTAATTTCAGAATTTTTTCCCTTCACTTTCAAGAAAAACCTTATGCTTATGGCATTTACTCAGCTTGTTTTTTTGTTTTCACTCACGCTTTTTTTGTTTTGTCATATTGAGACAGGGTCTCCCTGTAACCCCATCTGGCCTGAACTTACTCTGTAGACCAGGCTGGCCTTGAGCTCACAGAGATCTGCCTGCCTCTGCTGGAATTAAAAGTTGGCACCACTGTACCCAGACCGTTTTTTGCTTTTGCTTTTGCTTTGCTTGTTTACGCTCAGACCTCGTTTTGTGACCCTGACTGGCCTGAAGCTTGATCTGTAGGCCAAGCTGGCATTGAATGCACAGAAATTGGCCTGCCTCTGCCTTTGGAATGCTGAGATGCAAACCCTCCACCACCACACCTGGCCATACTCAAGTTTCTTGCTCTTTGAGATCCATTGACAATGTGTGTGTCAATATTGTTTGATCTAGACATGTCATATGACTAGAATCATGTAAAATGGGGCTTTTCTTATCTGTAATCTTAAGTTTTAAAGGGTCAGTCATGCTGTATGAATACTTTGAATTGCCACATTTCACTGTTCAAATGTACCACTTTGCTCATACTTACTTTAGTTGGTGATTGAGTCCCCCACACACCCCAACATACTTTTTTGGGTTTTTTTTTTGGTCGTAGTGAATCATGCTGCTGAGGGCCTGTGGCCATTCAACTATAGGTTTTATGTGCTTTCAGTTTTTGTGACAGTGTTCTTAGTAGCAGAATTATTGTGCCATCTGATAACTACATTTAGCCATTTGAAAAACTTAAACTTTTTCTATTGTTAGCAGTAGCATTTTGCCATCTTAGGAAGGATCTAGAAGTAATCTAGGAAGGTTCCCATTATCCCATTTCCCCATATCTTTCTAACACTTAATTTTCCTAAAGTGGAATATTTTATAAATAGAAAATCCCAGATATGATGTTTATCAGTTTTTCATGTGGAGTGGCAAGACCTGATACTTGTTTTGAGTTTCTCTTAAATGGTTCTAAAGCAATGGATTCCTTAAAGGATTTTTAAAAATTGTTAAAGACCACCCCATCCCTGACACTTAAGTTAGGTGGGTCTGGGGTGGGAGGTTATAAGGGGAAAACAGGGGAAGGATTGTTTTTATTTGTTTAAGACTGTCACCCTGGCTGGCCTGGAACTCAGAGAGGTCACCTGCCTCTGCCTCCCAAGTGATGGGATTAAAGGTGTGTGCTACCAAGCCTGGTTGAATTTTTTTTTTTTAAGATTTTTAAATTGTTTTTTCATGTGTAAGTATTTTCCCTGCATTTATGTATACCACATCTGTGCACTGCTCACCAAGGCCGGAAGAGTGTGTCAAATCCCCTGGAACTGGACTTACAAACAGTTGGTGACCTGCCATGTGTGTGTTGGGAATTAAACCTAACTTTAAATCTTTTTTTTTCCTAGACCTGAGCTAGGCCCCATTCCAACCTATAAATAACTTTATACTTACATATCTATTTACTTACTGTTTTCATTTATTTATTTATTTATTTATTTAATTTATTTAATTTATTTATTTATATGAGCCAGGGTCTCACTATGTAGCCCTGGTTGACTATGTAGACCAGAATGACCTCAAACTTACAGAAGTGTACCTGCCTCTGCCTCTTGAGTGCTGGGATTAAAGGTGTGTGCCACAATGCCCTGATCTATTTAGAATATGATAGTAAACTGATGAAGTAATCTGTTCAGGCTGACAAGAGTATATGTCTAATACCTTTTATTCTTTCCAGTGAGCCTTTGAATACCTCTTTACCAATGACCAGTGCTGTACAGAACTCCACCTACACAACTTCAGTAGTTACCTCCTCCAGTCTAACTAGCTCGTCCTTGAGCTCTAATAGTCCAGTAACAACGTCTTCCTCTTACGACCAGAGTTCTTTGCATACCAGGGTCGCATACCAAAGCTCTGTGAGTTCACCAGATTCAGCTCCAGGCACTGTCCCTGTAAGTAATGCTTCTAGCATTCTTTTCTTAGGATATCTAACTTGGAAGTTAGTATGTGGTTTGACAAATTACTCTTTAAAAATTGTGTGTGTGTGTGTGTGTGTGTGTGTGTGTGTGTGTGTGTGTGTGTAGTTGGTGAGGGTGCTTCCTTGCAAATGCTTTTACCTGCTGAACCAGGCCAAATTATGCTTTTGGATTAGATTTTATTTAGAAAATTGGCTAACTCTTTGACTAGAGTCTTTCTTTATAGCCTGTACTCTTTAAGGTTTTTATACATAATTATTTCTATCTCATGCCCACTAATCCCCTTCCTCTTAACTAGTTCCCCTTCTGCTTTGTTTTGTTTTTGGTAATGCAGTGAGTTTCATTAGTTATTTGCAGACACATGAGTTGTTCAGAGAACATGGGCTCCTTACCAGTTGCTGCACCAGTGACAAAAAGACTTTCCCTTTCTCATTGGCGATTAACTACAAATATATCTTCAGCTAAGGCTGGGCCTCATGAACTTCTCTTTCTTCTGTGATGGAGTGTTGATGGGCTCAGTCTGCGTAGTCCCAATACTGTGTAGGTAATCACCGTTGCTGTGGGTTGAAGAGTACAGGCAGTCATGCCGTTTCCAGAAGTCAGCATTCCACAGCACTTCCCCACTCTTGCTACCCATACATGCTCTTCATCTATTCTACTGCAGTGTTTTCTGAGTCTTGGAGGGGGTGATGTACAATACCCTATTTATGACTGGGCATTCTTAGTGCTTTGACCAGTTAGGAGTCTTTGTGGTCACCTTTCAGTAGATTAATAGTCTCTAATCTCCAATCAAATGATAGAAGCTAAGAGCTTGGGGAAAAAAATTTTCAAAACACAAGGTTGGTGGTGCACGTCTTTAGTCTCAGCCCTTGGAAGGCCGAGGCAAGTGGGTCTCCGTGACATCAAGGCCAGCCTGGCCTACAGAGCCAGTTCCAGGCTAGCTGGGACCATAAGGAAACCTGTCTCTAATTTAAAAAAAAAAAAAAAAAAAAAAACTAAACTAAACAAAAGCAAGGTACATTTACTTGCTACCTTAAATAAACATATCTCGCTATCAAAGATAAACTGTCTTAAAGTGAAAGGGTAGAAAAGGGTATTCTAAGCAAATGGAACTAGGAAGCAAGCAGATGTTTCTATTCTGATAGCTGACAAAATAGATTTCAAACCATTTTCAGTCAGAAGATTGATAGCAAGACCTTCTACAGAAAAATGCACAGACTTAAGGTGATATACTGTTAGATGATGAACAAAGAAATCAATAAGAAAATAGATTATTTTGAATTCTTCATCTAGAATTTCTTCTGAGTTACTCTCACTGGAACTGATTCCTCTGGGATTGGAAGATATGAGAGGAGACAGGTTGTCTTGGATTTTCACGTGACTTAGTTTTTGCTCTTTGATACAGATTAGATTGTACTAGCATTGTGATTTGGTGTTTCCTATTATTTGTTTTGGTTTTTTGGTTGGTCGGTTGGCTTTTTCTTTTTTTAATTTGAGACAGAGTCTCCATGTAGCCCCAGCCAGCCTCGAAGTCTTTAAGTAGACCAGGCTGAACTCAGTTTCACAGAGATCCACCTGCCTATGCTTCCCAAGTGCTGGGATTAAAGGTGTTCGCCAGTATGATGAGCTGCTGTTAAGATCTTTTATTAGTCCCTTTCGTAATTTGGGGTTTCCTTTTTTTTTTTTCTTGAGTACTAGGGCCTAGTCCTTGGTTTTGTTTTGCTTTTTGTTTATTTGTTTAATACTTACCTGGTAGGGGAGACACCATGATCAGGAAGGTGGTTTTCCCAGGGTGAGGCACATCCATTTCACTTTGGGATGTGCTGACCCCTGCGATGTCCCCAAATGTGGGAGACTTGACTGCATAATTTGTGGTAGTGGGGGACTGCATTCGCGCTTTCCCTTGGTTTTCTATGTTTAAAGATGTGCTCTGGGGGCTGGAGAGATGGCTCAGCAGTAAAGAACACTGGTTGTTCTTTCAGAAGACCCAGGTTCCAATCCCAGCATCCACATGGCAGCTAACAACTGTCTGTAACCCCAGTTCCAGGGGATCCAACAGCCTCTTCTGTTCTCTGTGGGCATTGCATGACACGGGTGCACTTACCTACATGCAAGCAATACATGCATACATATAAATCAATCAATCAATCAATCAATCAATCAATCAATCATTTTTGGTTTATGTGTATGAGTGTATTGCCTGTGTATAGGTAGGTGCACCTATGTCATGCTATGCTCAGAAAATGTCATGCCATGGTTAGAAAAGGGAGTCGTATCCCCTAGAACTGGAGAGGGAAGTTGGTTAACCACCATGTGGATGCTGGGACTCAAACCAGGATCCTCTGCAAGAGCAGCCAGTGCCCTTAACCACAGAGCCATCTCTCCAGTCCCTGTTTTGTTTTGGGGTTTGTTGTTGTTGTTGTTGTTATTGTTGTTTGGTCTTTTTGAGATAGGGTCTGTAGTCCCAGCTGTACTGGAACTTACTATATAGACCAAACTGGCCTTGAACTTACAAGATCTGCCTGCCTCTGCCTCCTGAGTGCTGGGATTAAAATTAAAATTTTAATTTTTGTAGTTCTGAAGATTAAGCCCAAGGCCTTCTGCTTACCATTGAGCTGACCTTATTGTTTGCATTTGAATTGTACCTGCACATACATTCTCACACACATATATACAATAATAATAATAAGAGTAAGAATGAATAAAAAATTTTTGTTGTGGGGAGTGAACCTACTTTTAATGGGCAGGAAAAGACTAGACCATTAATTATACATTTGATGAGACGATATAGTTGTATTTCTCTTTCTTGAGGGGAGAGCCTTTTATTTTAACTCAGAGAAGCTCCCCCTCCCTACCCCGTTCCAATTTATTGTCTTTTTGTTTTTGTTGTTTACTGTATTGTTATTTTCTCAAAAATAACAATTGTATTGTTGCTGTATTGTATTGTTGTATTTGTTATTTTTGAGAAAAGGTCTTAAGTAACTGAGGATGACCTTGAACTTGATATTCCTACATCTTTCAGAGATTACAGGCTACCAACCTTGACTTCCTACTATCTGTATTTCTTATAAATAATTTCAGGTCCTTATTGAAGGAAAATTGTAAATAGCACAGTAGTCATAAGCCCAAGTTATGCTAGACTTGGGTTAACACACAGGCAATGATTAGAATACTAGGTTTTGTTTTGTTTTGTTTTTTTGTGTTGTTTTGTTTTGTGACAGAGTCCTCCTTATAGTCCCAGCTGGCCTAGAAGTCAGTATGTAGATCAGGCTGGCTTCCATCTCACAGAGATCTCCCTACCTCTGTCTCCCAAGTGCTGGTGTGCATTACCATGCCCAGATAGTTTTAGCATTTGTTAGAAAAGATGCTTCAGCTTCTGTCTGTGCTTTCTTAGGAGGTTGTCTGAGCCTTATGGGCTCTTTGGGCTCTACTGCTGTACTTCCCCCCTCAGCCTGTGGGGGCAGCTGTCATTTTGTAAAGATTCCTTTTTCTTGTCAATTCCATCATTTTGATGATTCCAGTATGGAAGTTAGCCTTTTTCGTAATTTGGAAACATTTTCTTTGTTGCATATCAGAATTTGCATGAGAACAGGAGTGTCTCATGATTTAAGTATAAAGGGCCTTGATGTTGTCCCATAGTTGAACAACTTCATAATTGTGTTAAGAGTGCTTTCAGGGGGCTGGAGTCAGTGGTTAAGAGCACTGACTGCTCTTGCAGAGGATCCGGGTTCGATTCCCAGCACCCACATGGCAGCTACGAATTGTCTTTAACTCCAGTTCCAAGGGAATCCCAAGCCCTCTTCTGACCTCTGTGGCATTGCACAGCATGGTTGCACTCACATACATGAAGGCAATACACTCATACATATAAAATTAAAATAATAAATAAAATATTTTTTAAATAGTATTAAAAAAAAAAAAGAGAGAGTGCTTTCCTTTTCCTGTGGCCTTGTTACTTCCCCACAACTGAATCTGTTTTTTTTTCCCCCTTAAACTTTTTTTTTAACTTCATTTTTGTTTTATGTATATGAGAGTATTGCCTGCATGTATGGAGGTGCACTCATGCCGTGCAGTGTCCACGGAGGACAGAAAAGAGTGTCAGATCCCCTGTGGAACTGGAGTTATGGACAGTTGTTAACCGTCTTTTGTGTAGGAATTCGAACCTGGGTCTTCTGCAAGAGCAGCCAGTGCTTTTAGCTGCTGAGCCATCTCTCCAGCCCCCTGAGTCTGGTTTTCAATGTGTCCACGTCTTGGGATTTATTACTTTGCTTGTATTGCATTTATTTATTTATGTATGTATTTATTCATTTTCTTTTGCCTCTTACATTCGAAAACAGAATAAAAGAGATTATAACATATTTTTATGGTTATTGTGATCCAGTAGAAAGTCATCCAGGTAATCGTGGGTTTGAACATGTCCTTGTAACTCTCTTTCTGTTCCTGTAGAATGGACATGGTGGTGGTCGAAGTCAACACACATTAGACAGTAAGTATATGTTCTCAGTGTGACTGGTGGAAAGCAAACAGAGTGCGGCTAAGATAGGGGGAATCCTCAAAAAAAACCCTTGAGTACATTTTTCCTGAAATTTTTATTTTTTGAGACAGGGTTTTTTTATTCATTATTTATCCTACATTGACCTCAGACTCGTCAGTTAATACAGTACAAAGTATCTGGGATCTGAAGATCAATTTGTATTTCCCATATTCACTCCTCTAGCCATTCCCAATCTCCTTCCTTGTTGCCCGTTTTTTTCAGGGAACATTTCTCTGTGAGCCTGTTACAAGTTGTTCCGTGGCTCATGGAGGAGGTACCTTTTGGGGTGAGATGCATCAGTGGTGTCTTCTTCCAATTTCTCTTAGGAACCAGTTTCATCTTCAGAATAGGATGATGGTAAGATGGCAGACTCTGGAGTGTAGGGCCGTGTTAATTCTTCTGAGGTTGGAGGTGGAGCTCAGCTGGTAGAATGTTTATGTAGCAGGTGTGAAACTATGGATTTCATTCCCCAGGACCACATAAAATCTCAGCATGGTGGCAGAAGCCTGTAATCCTAGCTCTCAAGAGACAGGAGGATCAGAAATTGAAGGTCATCGTAGGGCAGTTGTGGACTACCTGAGACCATGTCTCAAAACGATAAACAGTAAAAATGGGCATGATTGTACACAGTGTAATTGGAGAGGTGGAGACAGAAGGATCAGGAGTTTGAAGTCATCCTTGGCTACTTGGAAAGTTTAAGCTACCCTGTCTTTTTTTTTTTTTTTTTGGTCTTTTTGAGACAGGGTCTCCCTGTGGCCCCAGCTGTCCTGGAACTCATTACATAGACCAGGCTGGCCTTGAACTCATAGAGATCCACCTGCCTCTGCCTCCCAAGTGCTGGGACTACAGGCGTGCGCCACCACGCCCAGCCCCTTTCTATTTCCTCTGTTCCTTTCCTGTTACAGTGCTTATTCAAAGGGCATTCTACAAGAGGGGAGCAGTGACCTCTTCCTACCTGGAAAAGATGATGATGTCATATTCCAATCTGACTTAATGTGTGAATGACAATAAACCTGAGTCTTTTCTTCAGAACAGATTGATTGGGTCTGTGTCTTTTGACACCTAAAAAATATACCTGTGCTCTGTAATTTATCTTTTAAAATACATACCAAGGAAGTTCTGTGTGTTTGGAAATGGGTCTTAGGCAGTGGTGTCAATTCTGCAGGTTTTAGGAATATAGACCTCTCCATACCTGTCTGAAGCTGACCATGCACTCTGGCAGCCTTTGCTGGTGCCACATGGATAAAAGTGCTCTGGCAAGGTCTTGCTCATCTGCCCTTTATTTTCTCTTGCTGTCCCTTTAGAGGGACATTTGCCTCTCTGTATACACATCAATCCCAGCATGTTTCTGTAAATGGGAGAAATATATTCACATCAAGACAGTTTATGATTTTAAAGGTATTATTTTCTGGTTTTTGTCCAACCCTTCACATACAATTATGTAGCCCTTTCAAGAGAAATAGAGCCATCTGGTGACATGCTAGGACATTTTCCTAGGGGTGGTAACTTGGTGTGCATCATCTCTGAATGTGCAAGATGCTGCATGCTTCTGGAGCTCAACACATCTATTTCTTGCAGCTGCTTCATCTGTTCCAGCTCCAAAGACAGCAGACCCTCCTTCTGCCCTCCCATCAGTGGGCTCCTTGACCAGCACCACCTGCTGCACAGTGCTTCTGCCCTCTGTATCCCAGCACACTGCCACTTTGCCCTCCTTGTCCCAGCCTGGTGATCTGACCAGTAGCTCCCTTTCTCAGCTTAGCAGGTATGTGGGAGATTGCCCAAAGTAAAGTAAATTGGATAAAGACCTGTGGAGTGTCTTTTAGGGTCGTGCCCCTGAACAGAACCCACTTACTGCCTCTAACATGGAGTCATAGGTTTTTGCTTTAATGCTCTAACTTGAGTTTTGACCTGGTGACATCTCAGAATTGCTAGATATGAAAGGCTTTACTTCTAATGCCCTTGCTGGCATAGCCCCGTAAAAAGTGTCCATACCTTGCCTGTCCTCAGATCCTGGCCAGTGTCACTTTCTGACCAGATTTCTAGCCTATGCTTGTCCAAAGATCAAGTTACTGGAATGGGGGGTAGGCTTGCTTGTTACCTACATCTTCTGGCTAGAGTTCTCTTAATAATTCAACTCAGAGCAAAAGTGACTTGAACTCTATGTCTAATGGGAATTCAATCCTGATTCTTAGTATGAGGTATACATAGAACCTTTCTTGATTCATAGTGTTCTGAACTCTCCAGGTGAGCAATCTGGTTTTGTTCTTTATATAACTAAAAGTGTTATAGTTTGCTGAATTTGGAGTCTTCCCAGGCCAGGATACTTCAGATCTCCTGGCAAATGAGCTTGAAGGTCATTGCTGACCACCAGGAGAACCCTGCCACTGGGTTCTGAGTGCATGAAATCTGACACCCAGACTTTCTCAGGGATAAGGAAAGCTTGATTGTAGCCAGTCATCCAGGTAGGCCTTGATTCTCTGGAAAAATATTAGTTGGACATGTGGTGTTCTGTTTTGTCTTCTAGTTCTCTCTCCAGCCACCAGAACAGCCTCTCCTCTGCACATGCAGCACGCTCCTCGAGCACGCCACACACCGTAAGTGCCTGCCCCTTCTGCCTAGCACATTGGACCTTTCCATGGGCAGTTGGGAAGCCTGTTAATTTTAAATCTCTGAGATGGGCTGGAGTCTCTTGGTTTATTGCCTCAGCCCCAAGGACTTGGTGTGTGCTCTTCCTTACAGGAGACATGTCTAGTTAGCAGGGACAGTTTTGTTTGCTGGGCCTTTCATGTTGAGCCATTTGATGCCCTCCTGCAGAAAAATGGGTTCATTGCTCATTCCCATATGGGCTCTAATAAAACACCTTGAATCAAGAATATTGTTCTTCTGTAAAACTCTACTACTTGGTGTAGGGAAAGCTCTAGGAGGGAAGGAAGCTCTGAGGTGAGGAACCATCGTCTGCTACAGGCACTTGTATATGCACCTCTCTGAGTGAGGTTCATTGTCCCAACTCTTGGCCCAAACAATATAATTGTATTCCACTGTGTTGGGGTATAGGGATGTGGCTATTAATCCTGTCCTATTTGATTTAGTCCCATGCCCTTGAACTCTGGTCAGAGGTAAATATTTCAAAGAAGGAAGTTTCAGAGGGTAGGACAAAAATCAGCAGAACTATGTCATCAAGGAAGTCAGGCCAGGCCAGTTTCAAAGTTGGAGGTGTCAGCTAGGGAGTGCCCTTGAGTGCCAGAGAATAACTCTCGATTGTGGTTATTGAAGTGGGAACTTGATGAGTTGTGAAATTGAGCATGATTTTAAGGGCTGTCAGTCAGACTGGATAGTGAATTGAAGGTTCTAGTGGAAGGAATGGTTCTAAAATGGAAGGAAGAAAGCTATAGAATATGCTTAACTAAGAACTGGCAGGGACTGGAGCATACTTTAGGGTTGATAGGTGGTACTTGGACAGAACAGTCTGCCCAGCTGCTGTGACAGAAGCTCCAAGCCAGGTTGGAGTAACAGGTCCACAAGCAAGGGGGACTTGGATGGAAATAAATGGAGGAGGAAGAAAAGGGGTGACATTTGGGTCCTGTGAGGAAGGAATCACCTGTACTTCAGGATGAGGTGGTGGCAAAGGGACAGTTATGTTCTTTCAACAGGATCTACCCAATATTGTGGCTTTAAAATTCTGGTTTTCTGGGGCTAGAAAGATGGCTCAACGGTTAAGAGCACTGACTGTTCTTGCAGAAGACCTGGATTCAAATCCCAGCACCCACATGGCAGCTGACAACTATCTGTAACTCCAGTTCCAGGGGATCCGACAGTTTCTTCTGTCTACCGCAAGCATTGCACCACACGAGTGCACTTACACACGTATTATAGCCATAACACTCATACATATAAAGAAATAAATAAAAACATTAAAAAAAAAAAAAAAAACAACTTTAACTCCAGTTCTAGGAAATCCGATGCCCTCTTCTGGCTTCCTCAAACACCACATGCATGTGGTTTATTTATATGCATGCAGGCAAAACAATCATACATATACAATAAAAAATAAATAAAAATTAAAAATATAGTCAGATACATGATTTTCTCTCAGTCTGTCATAGTTAGATTTTTCCCATCCAACATTGTGAAGGGTTCTCAGTGCTTGGTCCTTCATTTGCTTCACATCCTTAGAGAGTCAGTTAGACCTGCTATTTGGTGTTCTTAGAGTACTGAAGGTGCCCCATCAGGAGCAGCAGAAAGGAAGAAGAGGCTTTCTGGGGTGACTTCTTGAGTTATCAGCTGGTCAGGAACAAGTTCTTCATGGGAATGGGGAAGAAGAGGCTTTCTGGGGTGACTTCTTGAGTTATCAGCTGGTCAGGAACAAGTTCTTCATGGGAATGGGGAGTGTTCAGTATTTTCTTCCTATGAGTAACCCTTATGAACTTTGATGTAAGCCGTCCAGGTTCTGTGGCCCGTGGTCTTGAGTGGGAAGAATGGCTCCTTACAGGGGTCTGGGTTAGGTCTTGGGCAGAGTAGGGCATCTTTTGCTGTACTTCTTGTGGGCCCATTCCACACAGGCTCCGTGCTGAAGTAGCCCCAGGAAACCACAATTTCGGTTTGCAGGTAGACTCCTATGTAGACCAGGCTGGCCTCAACTCACAGAGATCCACCTGCCTCTGCCTCCGAAGTGCTGGGATTAAAGGCGTGCGCCACCACGCCCAGCAGTTCAAGTGGTTTTTAAATTTTTGTGTGTATGTGTGTGTGTGTGTGTGTGTGTGTAAAAATGTGTATGTGAGTGTAGGTGCCCACAAGCAGTTCAAGTGGTTTTTAAATTTTTGTGTGTGTGTGTGTGTATGTGTGTGTGTGTGTGTGTGTAAAAATGTGTATGTGAGTGTAGGTGCCCACAGAGTTCAAAAGCTGGTGTCAGATACCCTGGAGCTGGAGTTACAAGCAGTTGGTTGTAAACTGTCGGATGTGGGTGCTAGAAACCAAACTTAGCCTCTACAAGAGCAGTATGTGCTCTTAACTGCTGATCCAGCTCTTCAGCAGTTTTTGTTTGTTTGTTTTGAGTTAGAATCTCACTGTAGAGACGCTGATTAGCTTGGAACTCACTATGTAGGTCAGGCTAGCCTTGAACTTAACAGAAATCTACCTCTCTCTGCTACCCGAGTGCTGGGATTAAAGGTGGCCAGGCCTTCAGCCCAGTTTTTGTGCTTTTGACATTCACTTTAAAGTGAACGTCACTTAAGTAAAGTCCTAATGGCTAGGTCTGGTCCCACAGTGAGAGGGTATAGTGACTCGTTCATCGTACAGTTCCCAAGTGCTGACCTTGTCTCCTGCTGTAGTCCTGACTTCCTGCCTTCAGATCTATGTATCCTGGCATTTGTTTTGTCAGCATGCCCCTGTGGAGAGCACCTCTTCATCTACCACCTTCTCAACAGCAGCATCCTCTGCCCCGAGTGTCCCATCCTCAGGGGTCATCCTGCCTGGGAGCATGAGCACCGTGAGCAACCTCTGCCTGGGTGGAACCACTGTGAGCGTACCCAGCAACAGTACCAGGGCCACACCCTTGGTGACCTCAGGTATATGCCCTAGGCCCCTTCCATATCTCCTTCAGATGTATACATGGAGCTTCCCAAGAAGTGTGCCCAACAGCAGCTACCAGGTTGGGCAGACACAAGCATTAGAAAGTCACACACTCCTTTTACCCACCACCCCCAGCTTTACTATTGTGTTGATTGGCCTAGTGAGGCTGACCTGCCCTAGCAGGATGGAAAAAATCATTCTCTAGGTGGGCTTCCTTGGCAGGAATCCTAGCAGCATTTACCATACTATGTGTATATGCTAATCAGAACTAAGCTGTCTTAGTTGGCCCAGCAGACTGGAAACTGCCAGAAGCCCTTGTGACCAGCCTGCTTCCCCAGCTGTGTATGGCTTCTTTCTGCATTGAGGAGAAAGGTGGTTTCTTCTGTCCAAGTTGCCTCAGCACAGTGTGTCCTTTGGAATTGCAAAGGTAGAAGCTGCCTATCTGGGTGCAGAATCCTCTGTATTGAAGCATCTGGAACATAGCAGCATGTGTTTTCTCTCTTCCCTCAGCTGCTTCCTAGCATGACCCTCTGTTTCTCAGCCCAAGTGTAATGGTCATGTACCTATCTGGGGCAGTGCTATAGCCAGTAGTGAGCTTCCAGACCCATTCTTCCACCCCGAGCAGCTGAGGTGCCTCAGTGTGTAGTAGCTGATCCATGCTGTTTGATTTTTTCCTTCTGTAGGCAAAGCACCCCCAAACCTCCCTCAAGGGGTGCCCCCCCTGCTGCACAACCAGTACCTCGTGGGCCCTGGCGGTCTGCTTCCTGCTTACCCGGTAAGCACACAGTGGAGTTCCTGGCCAGTCTTATCTGATCTGGCCTCAGGAGCTGGCACCTGGCAGGACCTATTGGGGGGGTATGTGGGTTGGGCTAGGGCTGCCTGCCTGAGGCCGTTCTCTCCCTGTCTCTATCCAGCTAATTCCTGGTATATCTTCCTTCTAGACTCTACCTAGATAGGATCTGTTCCCAAAGCACTTGACCCAGGTCTCATTCTTGGGTGTGTCATGCCTGAAACCTTGTTTTGGCCCTTAGATGGGCTTGAGCTTCCCAGACTGTGGCTTGTAGTCAGTCCCTAACACTCTCCTGATTCTCATGCAGATCTACGGTTATGACGAGCTTCAGATGCTGCAGTCACGGCTACCAGTGGTGAGTGGAAAATGGCTTGTGGGACTTTTGCAGATCAGATTCCTTCCTTTCTTGGCCTTGACTGCCACCAACTTGGCCTTTAGAATCCTCAACCTATGGAACGTCACACTACCTTTGAAAAGCTGTGTCCAGTAATGTGCTTGGTCTGCCCATTGCTTTGGCACATGAGGGTCCAGTGCTCCTCCCTGGGGAACTTGAAGCCCTCTGAGACAAGAGGATATGTAAGCCATGCCCTGAACCAAATGTTCCTTATCTTCCTGCTCCATTCTTTTTTTAAAGGGGGTGGGGATAACTGAATATGGAGGTGCATTCCTCTAATCCCAGCATTCAAGAGATCAAGGCCAGCCTATGTTACATACTGAGATTTTCTCAACAAAACCACAAAAAAGAAAAAGAATTGTACGACCCGACCCAACACATGCAAGTTGGTTACTCGAGCTTGGGATTGGACATTTTTGAGTGTCTTTATCTCAGAGCACTATTGTTTCTTTGGGCTCTGGGGCCAGTGGTTACACTCAGGATGATAGCATTATTCTGTCCCCCGCAGAATGAGTGGCAGGAACTCACTGTCTTTTAAAGTGTTTCCTGGGTCTAGCCTTTCACCTTTATTTACAAGAATGCCTACCCTGGTGCTTCTGTCTTGTTGCCATGGTTATCTCTTTAGTCTAACCCTGAGTTTAAGGCTGGAACACTGGGCCTGCCCTAGGAGAGCCAGTCATTGAAGGGAGGGCAAGCAGGGAATAGGCCTGGTCCTCAGCAGCCAGTCGTCTTAGCTTGTTGTTTTCCAGGGCATCTGCCAGAGACTATCAGACACAATGTCTTTCATGTAGCCAGATGAAGAGACTTCCTTCCACAGTGTGGAGCTGCCTTAAATGTCTTCCTTAAATGCCCCACTCTGTGCTGTGTGCTCTCTTGCCATGCCACCAGTGTAGAACTGGAGGTTCCACCTCTGCCTTCTAGGAGAGAAACGCTTCTCCATCTGCCGGCGTCTTCTGAGGCAGAGGCTGCCTGAGGGCCTGCTGGTTCCCCTCCAGGACTTCTCAGACAGAGCCTCTGGGCCACAGTCATGAAGCATAAGAGGTTGTCCTGCCCCCAGGAGCAGAGGGGGTGCAGGCTGGAATTCATCCTGCCATAAGGACACTTCTTAGTTCTCCACCAGTACCCAGGGTCTCCTTTTCCTGTTCTTAAGTTGTACCTTGGAGGAAATCCCTAGTACCCACAGTGGAAATACACCTTTTACTATTCCCTTGAGTCATGTTTTTAGCCTTTAAGACTTTTGTGCCTAATTCCCACCTTCAGATTTTCTCATCTTCTGTGAAAGGGCTTCCCCTTCTGGGCTTCCTTTCCACCTGTCTACAGCTGGGTTCATGCCAGCTCCATGTAGTTTAGCTAGTCCTGTGCGTCATGGGATTCTAGGGTGAGAATTCTGTGGGTTTCCTGGATGTTACCTAGAGTTATGGCCAAAGGATGTGAATGTATTCCAGCCTTGGATACTATTGTTGGTATGACCTCAGAAGTAGGCTAGCCTGAGGGCTTGCATTTTGCTCAGATCAAGCTCGTCAGGACCCTGAGTGGTGAGTAAGGACTAGGCCAGGCTTCTTCACATAGCTCTACCTTATTTGTCCCTTTGCACACTATTATACCTGTTATCCTCACACCTGGCCTTTGGCAGTGTGTGTTGATGGTACAGAGTGAATAGGGAGAGGCTATTTGAGGCCTAAACCTGGGGTCCTATGCCTGCCTGGTGCCCCCACCCCTCACCCCCACCACCTTAAACCTAGGCTTTTCCTTTCCTTTGTCTCCCTGCTCCCTGGCTGTTCTTTTAGTCTATTACATAATAAAGGACAGTATAGTTTGGTTCAGCCTGTGGTATTTGTCATGTTCCCCATCTGTTGTGTCAAACATATGTGTGAGTTTGGGCCTCCAGGGGCCCATGGCAAGGTTAGCCAGCCTGTCCACATGCTGGTCAGCAGGAGTCCTGAGCTGCGTGCCCTTCCCAGGGCATGCCTTACTCACTGTTGTACTCGCAGCTCTGTGAGTGCATCTCGAGAGTGCATCACATCACCTAGTGTCCCATGGCTGTGCTGCCTGCTGGATCTGCTTTCTGAGGGTTGGGGTGAGGCCATTTGCTCAGTGAGCCTCCTTGGTCTTTCCTAGGATTACTACGGAATTCCTTTTGCAGCACCCACAGCCCTTGCCAGCCGAGATGGGACCCTAGCTAATAATCCATATTCAGGTTAGTAGGCTCAGTGAACAAGAATGGGAGGGGATTGGCTGGCCTGTAACTAGCCCCAGGAGGCTAGAGGCTGAGCAGCCCTGTCAGTTTTGGGTACTTGAACTGGCGTTAGACCTGTTCCTGTTTATAAGAGCCAGCATGGCCTTTTCCCTGGTGATACAAGGTACAGTGTTCTTCTAGGTGACATCACAAAGTTTGGCCGAGGAGACTCTGCATCCCCTGCACCTCCCAGCACACCAGCTCAGGCACAGCAGAGCCAATCCCAGACCCACCATACAGCCCAGCAGCCCTTTTTGAATCCTGCTCTGCCACCTGGCTACAGCTACACCGGCCTCCCCTACTACACAGGTGTACCCAGTGCCTTCCAGTATGGGCCTACTATGTTTGTGAGTATTTCCGCAGTTCATTCCCTATGCCTTGGGTTGCTGTAAGGTTGAAACCTTAGACATGTATTCCCATCTTCTGGGAGAAGCAGAGGGTGTCAAGATCCCACTTAGTTACACCTGGCCTTCCTTCAGGACTGGTCAGGGGCCTGCCTATAGATCCACCAAGCATTGCATTTAAAAAATACAGGTTTCCTCTGGTTGTGACTTTGTTATGCCCATGGCTCAGGCTTAGTCTGCCTTATATGTTCTGCCTTGCCTTACTCTTACACTAAGACCCCACCTGCTTATCCCACCAGGTCCCTCCAGCTTCAGCCAAGCAGCATGGTGTGAACCTCAGCACCCCTCCAGCCCCTTTTCAGCAGGCCAGTGGTTATGGCCAGCACAGCTACAGCACAGGTATGGGGTGCTTCCTAGTACCATGAGGCGCAGGGTAGGTCAGGCATGCTTAACTCACACATGCCTCTTGTACCCTGTCATGCTAGGTTATGATGACTTGACCCAGGGGACGGCGGCAGGAGATTATACGAAGGGTGGCTATGGTGGATCATCACAGGCACCAAACAAGTCAGCTGGCTCTGGGCCTGGCAAAGGTAGTGTCATCTACTCCTTTCCAGGACTCAAGCCTGGAATCTCTACCCAACTCTGTCTTGAGGCAGGGTTACCCCAGGGTCTGTAGAGCTGGGACAAAATGCTATGAAGAACTAACTGCTTTTCCTCCTAGGAGTATCAGTGTCTTCAGGCACCACTGGCCTACCTGATATGACAGGTTCTGTCTACAACAAGACACAGGTGAGTATGGACAAAGGTGGGCAGGTTAAGTCGGAGGGAAGTACAGCTCAGTCTGACCTTCATGTTGTCTTTGTCTTACAGAGTTTTGATAAGCAGGGATTTCATGCAGGGACCCCTCCACCTTTCAGCTTGCCTTCTGCCTTGGGCTCCACTGGGCCCCTGGCCCCTGGCCCAGCCCCTGGCTATGCACCCCCACCGTTTCTCCACATTCTGCCGACTCACCAGCAGCCCCACTCACAGCTGCTACATCACCACCTTCCACAAGATACCCCGGTGAGCGCAGTGATGGAGGCAGCCTCCCTGCCCTGGGCCTGGGGTTCTGTTCCAGCCTTTATAGCCTTTTTCCCTCTTCCTCCTCAGAGTGGCTCTGGTCAGCGCAGCCAGCCCAGCTCCCTGCAGCCCAAGTCTCAAGCCTCCAAACCCAACTATGGCAACGCTCCATACTGGACAAACTAGACCCCAGAAAGTGGGTGGGCTCCTGGGCAGGAGAGAATGCATGGAGCACATTTCTGGGAACCCGGTGCCCTTTCCTAGAATTCTGAGACGCATGCCTGTGTCAGCTGAGCCCCTGTGGGAAGCCTGCCTCCCAGACTCACTATTGTATGTAATGTATTTATGTATTTGTAAACGTGATAGAAGCCTTGGGGAGTTGGGGTGTGGCTACAGGTGGAATGCAAGTGTGTTCTCCCTCTCTGGACACCTCACAGTAGCCAAGCAAGCCCTTGCCCACACCCCTTTCTGCCTTCAGGCCTTCCATGTGGCCCCTTGCTCAGTGGGCTCCTAGGTGTACCACTGACTAGTTGCGGCTGGGGTACCAATGAAGAATCACAACTTATCTTACTTCCTCGTGAACCATTGTTTCTTCCCTCTGTAATTACTTCATACTTGTTTTTAGGTAACGCATCCTTTTGTCATTGTCTCCCTTCCACCAAATGGATTTCAATCTGGGAACAGCAGACATGATCCCTGCCCAACATCAACCTGGTGCCTGTCTGCCTGCACACACAGCAGGGGCTTCCCCTAGAGACTTGCCTTTTTCTGGCCAACAATTTTAAAAAAGAATCTAAACTGGGTCTCAGAGATGTTCAGCCAAGTCAGCACCCCTTGTTTAATACAGAAATGGTGAAAGCCTATCTCCAAGCAAAGGCTCTTCCACGCCAGTTGTCCTGAAGCAGGTGGGCAACTGATTCAGGGTTTTCTTTTGCCTAAACTCCACCTAATAAAGTTCTGAGAGCATGCATGGTCTCTGTGTGGTATGGCTGAGGGTTGGCTTGGGAGAGACACCCTAGACTTTACAGGTTCTATGTAAGATTATGTAAGGGTTTCCTCTGATCCTTCTTTTTTCTTGGCCCAAATGTATACCTAAAAAGACAAACTCCTCAGGGTCCAGGTTGTATTTGAAAGTTAATGTTTCTAATGGCCTTTTACTACAACTTGGGAACAGTGCCAGAATGGGTGATATCCAAACCTCAACTGACTCACAATCTGAAGCAAAGTTGAGTGCAGGGCTCAAGGTCTAAGCTGTTTTTGTGCCTTTCTTTCACTTATACACTATGGCTTGGCAGTCAAAGGCTGTGGCAGGTTAGATGACTGGTGCGCTGTCGTAGGGGTGGGCTGTCGAGGACCTAAGGGTGTTACAGCTCTATTCTGAATCACTACTTGATAAGTAGGCGGAGTTGACCTACCCAGAATGCTCAAGAGCATCCCAGGGTTTAAAGCTTTCCGTTTTCTGAATAGGAATGCTCACCCTGTAATGGGGTGCTGGGGTGTAGCAGGAAAGACACATGCTTCTACTTTCAGGAGCAGTGGTCATGTCATCAAATGGATTCCTTCTAGCCATTAACCCACAGCTTACAATCCTGACCAGAAAAAAGGGCACATATCCAACTAAAATTAAAAAGTTTCTGTAGGCTTGCCTTGGACTTACAGCAGTCCTCTTGCCTCTGCCTCCTGAATGCTGCATTAGCAGGCCTTGTGCTACACGCCCTGCTCTCCTGATTCCCACCAGACAAGTTGTGACAGTGAACAGAACGTTTGCCAAGTGATAGCATCAGCCTTCAAACTGTTTAACAAATGGCTGTCTTTTAGAATCTTCCTTAAAAGCATATATGGGTCAGACGTGATTATAGTTTCCTTTTTCTAGGAAAAAGAGTTGGCTAGTGTCATAAAAGCTGGTCAGAATCTGAATGGTGCTTTTAAGTTTTCAGCTGAGTCCTGGGTGTCAACGTAATAATGAAATGTAAAATTTTTTTTTAATCTTTTTGAGACAGGGTTTCCTTGTAGCCCCAGCTATCTGGAACTCACTATGTAGATCAGGCTGGCCTCACAGAGATCCACCTGCCTCTGCCTCCCAAGTGCTGGGATTAAAGGTGTGCGCCACCACACCCGGCGATGAAATGTGATTTTTTTAACACGAGGATAAAAAAATTAAAAAGAGGGTCAAGGTCAATCCCACGGGGAAGTTGCAATAAGATATATTTTATTTCACATTTTTATTAGTAGACAGATGGGCAGAAAAAGACAAACCACTAAAGGGAAAGTCAACACAAAATGCATCGAATAATCTCATAAGTTAAACGGAAGAAAAACACAATTTTAGCTAAGAAAACTATTAAAGTCAGGCATGTCCTGCTGGTTTCAGAATAGTTGAAAATTGCATCTGAATCTTTTTAGTTGTAAATGTAAACCTTGTTTATCAGGGTGGGAGGAAAGAGTTAATTTCTAAAGAGAAACTTTCTATTTTTCCCTTCCAGTTTCTTAATTAGATAGGATCAAACATAAGGAAACCAGCAAAGGAGCAAGTAATGGCCCTAAAAGGGCTACAAAAGTAGAGTGTGGCTAATTAAAAAAAAGAACTCTGGAATGATGAGGACAAAGTGGAGAGAGCTTTGAGAGAGGCAACAATGGAATCATGATACACTTTGTCCACCCAGCCTCAGGATACATGAGCTGAAAAGCATCAGTGAGGCCACAATCAGGAAAAAAAGAAAAAGTGATGCAGAATTTTGAGTTTATTTCATACCAATTAACTAGCATAACTGTACTTAGAAGGTTCTGGCTTGAGCCCAGGACATCTGTTCACTCCCCAAAAGACAGAAAACTTAAGTGTTTTTCCACAGGACATGTTCTCAAGGACAGAAATCTAGAACCAGCACACGGGTTTTGTAGGTCAGTCTTAACTACCAGAATGTCTGCCCCAACATACCCTAGACCCAGCCTACAGCAGTACCACCACCAAGGGCTGACAGGGTCCAACCTCCGCTTGGCTCTGAGTCACCAAGCAACAGGCTGGTTGAGGCATAACGCAGGTGCCTGGCCTGCCTGGGAGTGAGATGCTTTAGCAGTCTGGGTGAAAAACTTCATTTCAGAGCTCCAAGACCAAGACCAAGCTACTGGCCATAAACCTGTGGGAGTGGGGCACTGAAAGTGGGGAGGTAAATTAGAGGCTGTGAATATATTTGCAGGTTATCTGGAAGCTTGATGCTTAATGAAGTAATTAAGGGGAGCAGCAAGTTAGCTCCTTCTGGGAGCTTATACTGTCACTCCATAGCATGCTGTCCTGCATAGCTGCTGTGTGCCCTGAATCACTGGTCCTATGAAGATTACGGAGATTTCAGGACAACACAACAGTAGCCCACAATAACCTTAAGATGTTAAACATTCTCATTTAATAACAGACTAAACTTTGGAGGCCAGAGGGCTGCTGGGAAATAGCCTGTGTTGGGGAGAATTTTAAGAGTGAATGAAAACCCTGAGATCAGAAAGGAAGGAGCTAAAGAAGGAAGGGTCTTCTTGCCACCCTAGGATCCATTCTACCCTGTCCCTAATCTGCCCTTTGGTTCTTTCTGAGCATCTGAAGATAAGTGACACTGGTGCACTAGGCTCAGTCCCTGCTTTATTTTCCTTCTGAACCCTGATCTTACACTGTAGCGGTTTCCCCACTCAAGAATATGAGGCGCTTGCTCACCCTAGTAATAAAAATCATCCTCAGATTCTCAAGTCCCTGGAAGAAGGCTGCTGGATCTCAATCTTGATTGGAGCAATACATGACAGACATGGAAACAAAACTGCAGCAACTACATACACCACAGGAAAGAAGGCCTTGCCTGGAATGGAAACCGCCCAGTTAGCTAAAAGGACCCTGCCAGAAGTGAGACAGCTAAGCCAAGGGGAAGCTCTAACAATTTCTGTTTGCATTCCACAGCCCAAGTATATTGAAAGAAGAAAGTCCAGATCGTACCCAATGAAGAAAACAAGAACCAGTCACTCAAGTCTCACACATTCACTTTATCACTATCAGTATAAGCAGCTCAATGGAAACCAAAATCTTAACACATGCACTAGGATTAATACTGAATAAAAAGTGGCTACTTAAATTATAATAAAATTAAAAAAAAAAATCACGCTCTATTTGAGGGAAGGCCAAGTTAAACATAAAGCAGATGTTTCCTCCCAACAGTGGCCACCAGCAGTCCTTTCCCTCAGTAGCACTAACCAAAACTGGTATTTTAAAACTTTATTTTCATCACCAAAAATCCATACACACTAACCTCCACTTCCTCCCCACTTGCCCCACTCCCTGGTGGGAAAAAAATTACCCTACCTTTCAAATAAATAGCAGCCAAGTGCTCAGTTCTATGTAAAGTATGAATATTTATTTCAGGCTTTAGATCCCAATCGATTCCAAAAAACAAAATCTGATTTCTCTCCTCAGAGTAGCTGAAGCCCCCACGCTGGATGGTTTCATGGAGGCAGAAGCACATTTCATCAGGCTTAGCAAGAAGCAAGTCCCTGATGCCCACTGCATCCCAGCCTCAGGAAGGGAAAGAAACAAAATTCACCACCACGTGGTTGAACAGATGCACACGCACTAATGTAAAGGAGCAGCTAAACCTTGGCAAATTCGCTTTTTTTTTCCTGGTTTTTAGGGGGTTTTGAGCTTTTTTTTTTTTTTTTTTTGGGTTTTTTTTTTTTTTTTTTTTTTTTCTTTTTCATTTAATTCCAGGAATACTTTTATTTCTTTCTTAATTTCTCTTTTGACCTTTTTGTTTGTTTTTTAGGTTTTTTTTTGTTTTTGTTTTTGTTTTTTTTAGTTTTGTTTTGTGGGTTTCTTTTTGTTTATACTTTTTCCCATTTTCTTTTGCTACCCAATATATGCAGCACTTGTGAACTCCCAGTGGGTTCCCAGCTTTAAACACATTAAATGTCTTAGACTAATTCTTCAGGAACCTAAAAACAGACAAACGTGTTTTGCTGTGAACGCTCTGCAGAGATGAAGTGAGGCGGGAGTCTGGGTCGTGGTGGTTTTTAAAAAAGAATCAGTACAGTGATGAAAGGGTAAAGAATGCAGGAATTCAGAGATCCTGTGGAGGGTTACTTTCTCCAGTAAAGGTCCACGAAAAGGAGCAAACTGAGATCCATAGGGGAGTCAGCAGGAGCTCTGTGTTTTTCCCACCCCGTAAGTTTCTGCTGAGGGGACACTGCTCGGTCCCCACTTGCTCCCCTCCCTTTGGCCTGAGACGGCAGGGCAGTACAGGGGCACTGAAGGAACATGTCACGACTCCTCATTGCCAGAATCATCATCATCATAGCAGTCGGCATCTTCTTCCTCCTCATCTTCATCATCAATGTCGTCGTCGTACAAGTCGTCATAAAGCAAATCTGAGCTGTTGTCATTGGAAGGCACTTTAGTTTTGATGCAGTATTCTGCCAGGGTTGTAGGGACCTTCACTCCATCTTTTTCTGCTTCAGCCTTAGTGGCTGAAACCTGTTTCCTGAAGGGAGAATAACAAAAATAGTTATGCTAAGTCTGTTCTTTGTTTTTCTTGAGACAGTTTCACTCTGTAGCCCAGGCTGGCCTAGAGCGCCACAGTCCTCCTTCCCTTAGCTTCCTCAATACTGGGGTTACAAGCAAAAGCCAGTGGCCCTAAGTCTGACCATAATCAAGATCCCTTACGACTCTGCTTTCTAAACTCCAGTGTCTGCCAGGAAGCGTCCGACAGAAGCCCTGCCCCCCACAAAATCATTCTGGAGGAAATTTAATAATAACCTTTTCTGGGGGGAAAAATGCTACAGTAACTTGAATATACTAAATTGACTTTTCGACATTCTTCTCTGATCACTCAAGTCTCAAATTGGTATTTATTGATTTAAAGATGAGTCAAGCTTGCCAAAACCTGTTTGTGTTTGCGATGCTGGGGATCAAATCTATGGAGTGGTATACTAGGCAAGTCCTTTTGTCAGAGCTGCACTCCTAGCCCCAGAGACAACACAAATGGTTGAATATAATCCCACTTTTAAATTGTCCTTTACTATATATCCCTATTGGGTACCTTTTCTGACCTTCCCTGCTTCCTGAGTCACTTCTACTTTTCCAGGACCTAATGACAGCTTAGTAGATAATGGGTGCACATCACACACTAAGAATAGTTTCTCAAAAAGTACAAAAACTTAGTCGGGTGTGGTGGCCCATGCCTTTAAACCCAGCCCTCAGGAGGTAGAGGCAGGTAGATCTCTGAGAGTTCAAGTGAGTTCTAGGCCAGCTGGGGCTACAGGGAGACCCTGTCTCAAAAAGACCAAAAAAAAAAGTATAAAAACTCAAGTCAAGGTTTCAGGGAAAACATCAGAATACTACTTTCTAATCTTCCCTCTTGACCCCACCTCTTTTTAGCTAGACCTTACTCAGGCTAAAAATGTTAGCTGTGGCCAGCCTTGCCTATACCCTCTGGGCTTTACTCTCTTTGCCTAGCCCTGAGACATCTTACCAGTTTTAACCACCACTTTCTCATGTTTTAACCACTCTTCCCTTTATATTGGTAGCTCAGAAACCACCAGGCTCACCACTTTTCTGAGCTCTAGACACTTTGAAATTGAAACAATTCTTGATGCTGCTAATGTTCACTCTAACTTAGCAAGACTGTATTTCCCTTTTTTACCTCTGGCCAATTTCTCGTTTCTCTTCTCCCACTGAAAAAACACTGGTTCCTAAAACCACATAACTCTCACTTAAAAACTTTCCCCTTATCATGCACACTTTTTTTTTTTAGTCTTTTTGAGACAGGGTCTCCCTGTAGCCCCAGTTGTCCTGGAACTCACTATGTAGACCAGGCTGGTCTTGAACTCACAGAGATCAGCCAGCCTCTGCCTCCCAAGTGCTGAGATTAAAGGCGTGCGCCACCTCGACTGGCCAAAGAGTCTGATGTATTGTCCAAGAGTTCCCTGGAATCTTGGTCCTCCTGTCCTAGCAATGATTACAGGTATGTGCCATCATATCCAACTTTAAAGTTCTTTTTTAAATTTTTAGACAAGGTCTCCCTGTAGCCGTAGCCCCAAATGGCCTGGAACTTGCTATATATGTAGACCAGATAGTCTGGATTTCACAGAGATATGCCTGTCTCTGCCTCCCCAGTGCTGGGATGAAATGTGTGCGCCACCATTCCCAACTTAGAGTCCTGTTTGTTTCTTACTTTCTTTTGGTCTTTTTGAGACAGGGTCTCAAAAGAAGTGACTCAGAAGTTAGGAACACTTGTTGCTCTAGTAGAGACCTGTGCTCAGGTCCTACATGGTGGCTCACAACCTCCTGTAACTTCAGTTCCAGAGCATCTGGTACTGTCTTTTGACCGCAGGTACTGGACCCATGAAGCGCACATTGCAGATACTCAAAAACAAAGTGTTCCATCACCTCCAATATTAAGAACCATCAATGTGGGCATGGTGGTGCATGCCTGTAACTTCAGCACTTGAGAAGTAGAGACAGGAGGGTTATCCTCTGCTACGGGAAGGAGCTTGAGGCCAACATGGGTTACCTGAGATATGGCTGACTTCCAAGTCTCTTGAGGCATACTTGCCTCTCTTGCTTAATCTTCCATTACCTCCCAATATATCTTGGTTTCTGTAGTTGCACTTAGCAAATATGTGTGACTGCATGGTCATGCAAGTATGAGCTCACCAAGGTAAAAGGCCTTAATGACCTAGCAAGAGTACATAATATGAAAAATAAGAAAAGCAGGCCCTCAGACAAATAATTAATAGCCAGGTATGGTGGCACACACCTTTGATTCCAGCACTTGGAAGGCAGAAGTACATGGATCTAGGGTCCCGGGCCACCTTGGTCTACATGGAGTTCCAGGCCAGCCAGGGTTATATACTGAGATTTTGTCGCAAAACAAAAGTGAAGCATTCTCTTCTTTAATACTCAGTCTCCTCCTGCTCCTGTAGATTTCTATAGTTCATTACTGTTTACACTGATTACCTTCAATCCTTGATGTTTCCCTCACCTCAGTGGCTGATGACTAAAAACAAGTGCACAGTCACTACCCCTGTGGATCTCTGATTCAAAGCCAGACTGGTCTATACAGCCAGACAAAACAAAACACAACAGAAATAACAACAGAACCGGGAGGCTCTGCACTGCCCTCCGTCCCGTTTTCAGTTTTTGTTTTGGGTTCTCTTTCAATAGCTGAGCTGATTATGTTCAGGTGGAAATCTTCCCCCTAATTGAGAATTTGTTTTGAATTGAGAAATTGTTTTGAAACGAACAGATTATTAAAGTCTAATTTAAACCATTAGTTCCAGAATGAACTTGGTTTGTATGAAGACAAAGTAATAAAATAGAAAGCATAATGTACTTACCTAATGATTTCAGCATATTCTTTGTCTTTTCCTTTACTGTCCCTCCATTTCCTGAACATAACTGAAGCATCCACATTGGCTGGGGAAAAGGTATTGGGCTCATTAAGCAGTGAGATTACACTTAACAGAATAGTCCTGAAAATGGAAAAAAAGTCCATGATAAATACCCACATTCAAGAAATTACAGTTTTTAGGCTTCTCTCCTTGAAATTTCTATGCTATACAATTTGAGATTATAATAATTGAGGCCTTAGGAAAATTGATTGTAAGATTTTGTTGTTAGGAGCCAGTGAGATGGCTTAGTGGGTAAAGGTGCTTGCCACCAAGCCTGAGAACCTGAGTTTGATCCCAGGAACCTGTATGATAGAGGAAGAGAACCAACTCCAACAGGTTGGGACTGACCTCCACCTGCATAACAGGCACACGCAGAAACACATTCAATAAAACATAATAAAAAATGTTTTAAAGGTTGTTTTCAGTATCAGCTGACTAGGCTACAAAACAAGCTGTGGAAACCTAGGAAGACTGAGGGTTCCAGCTCAGATCTAAGCTACACAGAGAGACCTAAGAAAAAGTTACTAAATGGGTGGGGCCAAAGGAAATATGTGAATCTAACATAAAAGTCCTGCTGTAGGGCATAAAATGAGCTCTATAGAAGACATTGTCTTGGCTGGCTATATGTTCCAATTGGCAAAGAGTAGATGTCTGGAAGTTTTCAAATTCCATGTATTAAAAAAAGTTAGGGCTGGAGATGACTCAGTAGTTAAGAGCACTGGCTATCTTCTAGACAATCCAGGTTTGGTATGTATGAAATTACATATATGTAGGCAAAAACACTATACACATAAAAATAGATGCATTAATCGCCAGGCCTTTAATCCCAGCACTCAGGAGGCAGAAGCAGGTGGTTCTCTGGGAGTTCAAGGCCAGCCTGGTCTACATAGTGAGTTCCAGGACAGATGGGGCTACAGGGAGACCCTGCTTCAAAAAGACAAAAAAAAAAAAATTTTTACAGGCAAATATCCCAGACACTACCCATCAAAGTAGCTTCTTTTTCAACAGACAGAGATTATTATAGAGTTACACACTGATCAAAGAGATTGTTTGTGAATTGCCCAAGCCTAAGTGGCACATCTAGGATGTAACCTCTATACCTAAGACTCACGGAACACAGAACAAGGGATGAAGAGAACACTAACGTATCACCAATGAGGCTCCCTCACGCGACACAGAGCTAGGAACACAAATGGCCAAAATTCAGAGAATAAGAGTCCTTGGACAGGACTCCTATACTGAGATCCACCCACCCAGGGTTCAGGGACCACTTTGGAGGATGGGGCAGAAAGACTGCAAGAGCCAGGGAGGAGGTGCACGGCAATACAGAAATGGGACCCTTCTCATACAAACCTACAGCAATGGTGTCAGCATGCACAAGACCCATACAAACTTACACAGATAAAAACCCAACAGAACTGTAGAAATGAACAGAAGGCCCCAATCTTAGTCAAAGAATTACCGGCAGTTGATTGTTGCTGGCTGAGGAAGAGCTGATCTTCTTGAAGGGAGAGACTCTAGATAGGTAGACTAAACCTATGCAAGTTCATAGGTGGATGAACTTGTACTGACACTCAGGGACATCTCAGGACACTAATTTTACATAATAGGCCCTAATACAACTGACAATGTATGAACTTCAGTGGGGGGGGGGCGCTATGGGAGTGTGCCAAAGGAGAAGGGGGAAGAGGGTATAAAGACAATTTTATGTATGAAATACACAAAATTCAATTAAAATTTTTTTAAAAGGGTAGTTTGCGCCCACATGTCAAAATCCACATTTCAGGGCTGGAGAGATGGCTCAGTGGTTAAAGAGTGCTTACTGCTCTTGTAGAGGACTTGGGTTTGTTCCTAATACCCATATGATGGCTCAAAACCATATGTAACTCTAGTTCCAGGGGAACTGATGGCCTCTTCCGGCCTCTTGAGAGCACCAAGCATGCACATGGTGCACATACATGCATGAAAGCAAAACACCCATACATATAAAATTTTTTTTTTTAAATCCAATATTTCAGTCCATTACAGGGAACAGACAAAATTACCAAGGATGACAGACATGAAAATGTTCCAAATTATTTCAAGACACCCCCCAAAGGATTTATGCATGTGTGTTAGGAAAAAATGGGACAAGGTGGACATGGTGGCGCACACCTGTAGTTCCAGCACTTGGGAGGCAGAGGCAGGCGGATCTCTGTGAGTTCGAGGCCAGCCTGGTCTACATAATGAGTTCCAGACCAGCTGGGGCTACAGGGAGACCCTGTTTCAAAAAGACCAAAAAAGAAAAAAAGAAAAAAAGAAAAAGGGGGGGCGGATTCCTTATGTATACCAGGCTAGTCTTGCACTCAGAAATTCACCCACTTCCGCAGGTTAAACATGTACCATCATTGTTGAACTCTGTACTGACACTGGTGCTGACTCATCTATTCCTGAAAATACAAGAATGAGGGTCTCAAGTAAGATACAGAAAAGTACAAAGTTAAAACAGTTTAAAAAGTAAGATAGGGTCTGCGGGAAAAGTAAGAAAGATAGGGGTCTGGGGATCAAACTCAGGGCCTTGCACATACCACCATGCAAGCATAAAAGTACACTTATGCTGGGCGCAGTGGTGCACGCCTTTAGTCCCAGCACTCAGGAGGCAGAGGCAGGCGGATCTCTGTGAGTTCAAGGCCAGCCTGGTCTACACAGTGAGTTCCAGGGCAGCTAGGGCTACAGGGAGACCCTGTCTCAAACAGACCAAAAGAAAAAAAAAAGTACACATCCATTTTATTAATTTCTTAATTATATTATTAGCAGTGTGTGTGTGTGTGCGCGCCCGTGCGCGAAGCACGAACTTGCCATGGTAACTCTGTGGAAGTAATCCACTCTTTC